TAAAGAATAGATGATCAGTAGATGTGTGCGGCCGCTGCTACTGATCTTTGATGTCACTTTCAAAACCACCCTCAGCCTGCTATGATTAGGAACGCTCACAGTGTACACGATATACATGATTTTTTTCTTTTTCTGTTACCTTTTTATTATGTAATTACATTGGGACGCTGAGCAGCTGGGCGGCTTCAAACAGACGTTAGCACACATCCACATGTGCTCTTGGCTCGGTTTCTGCCGCACAGACACGTCCCTCGCCGGGCTTTAATTGGACTGCAGTGATTCGGTTGATCCAGAGGAGCGGCCGCGGCCAGCCGGGGCAGGTTTATTAGCCTCCATCAAAGAGGCCCTGTCAGCCTTGATCATCTGAGGTTACACGGCGGTACATGACTCCTGCAGAGCGCTTCACCTCTGATCTGAGCACGTGTGGTGGATACTACATCCTCAGACATGATTTCTGATTCTTATATTCATTTGAAGCGCATCGTTTCGTGGCCTACATGAGCTGCTGTGTGTCTTTGCTAGAGTCTGTGTTCTTTTGCTTTCCTAACCAATTGTTGCTGAAATCAAGGTACTATTTTTGCATAACAGAAGAGCATAGTATCAATTAATCGTGTGATAAGTTAAAATAAGCTTGATAGCTTTTTATCTGAACTTTAATTTCTGTTGAAGGGTAATTTTGTTTAGAGAGACATCGTAATTCGTTTTAATCATGGTTTTGGTTGTAGGTGGATTTAATTTTTGTTTTGTTTACTGTTTTTGGTTGTTGTGTTTTATGTTGGATATTTAAAATATCTTCCAGGTCCAATACTAAATGTTATTTGCAAAATTGTAGTTTATTTGTCTTATACATTACCTGAAGATGGTCTCAAGACAACAATATTTTCATTTATTATAGTACTTAGAAGGACAATTTATTGTCCAGCAAAATTAGGCCTGTTCACATCCTTTTATATTCATATTTTGTCCCATTACAGCAATGTCTATAGATGCATAAATATGTTCAAACAAAGCAAATTAGCACATAATTGTGAAGTGGAAGGAAAGTGTGACTTGGTTTTAAGTGGTTTTCTTCCTACAAATAAAAATTCAATTTGGAACTGGACTTTGACTAGAACTCTGTAATATGTGGCGTACTTATTTAGTTTATTTAATCTAAACCGCTGCATTGTAGCTCCGGCTGCATGTTTAGGCGAGTCAAATCTGACCACAGCTTGCTTGTCCCTGCTATTGAAAAGCACCGCCCACAGCATAATGATGCCACCACCGTATTTCCCCGTGGGTTTGTGTGGTGTTTGCTTTCTGACATATGTTGCAGGTTTTAGGGTAATGTTCTCTTAACCTTAAGAACAATTGTATTTTTACTGAGATTAAATCTTTTTAGATTTATATTTCTTGAAACCGTTAAAAACGTTGTATAATTTGCTTCCACTTCTGCTCTGTTGCTCTGTTCTGATGAAGTATTTTAATGTGTGTGGTCATATAGTGTAAAAGGCTCAATGAAAATGAATACTTGTGAAATACATTAAGTCTTCCTGATTTAGGGTAGTACATGTGTGACTAATAAAGTCAGCGGAGCAAAAAAAAAGCAAAAAAAAAAAAAAAAAGACAAGCTTCACTGCTTGTCGCTGAGAATCTCCTGGAAGCTACAATTGGGAAGTATGTCAGTGGTTCCTCAGCTTCTGAACATGCAAGCTGGTTTATGGATTGCTAAAATTTTTGAACACAAAAGCTGTGATCAAATAAAACCGTGAAGGGTTTTCAATTATCAATATAAATACATGTGACACACACACCATTATTGTCGGGACAGCAGCAAGGAGCCGAGTGACCAAAGCTGCGCGTGAAACGAATGACTTCCGTCCTTAAAATAGACTCTGGACTGTACGTGTCAGTTTTGGTTCTCGTTATTGGCTCTGTACAGAGAAAAACGCAGTGTTTTGTTCAATTCTATTATATTCTTTCAAATGCAACCCAACGACGTTGTCAAATTACATGCAATCCAATTCGAGCCATCCCACCTTGCATTGAGTTGTTGAGTTTGCACTTCAATAATTTCACTTATAACTTGTCTCTTGCTGAAAAGTTACTTGCACATCAGCTTTGTCTTGTTTCAAGAGCACAAAAATAGTTGCAGTAGAAAGTAGATCAAAAATACTTCATAATATTTTGTGTATTTGCAGCGGATAACGAGCTACAATCTAATGTGGTCCACTGAGGACAAGAAAGGACACAGTAAGACACATACGTACTAGGAGAGGAGTAATTTCTATGGAGGAGAAAATCCAAAAAGAGAACTGAGCATACAGCTTCCATCCCTGATGACAGTTTCCATGACTCACTTTCTTCAAGAAATGGTGTGAGACGAACTCAGCTGCTTTCGTTGCTATCGTTGACTTAGGTGACTTAGGGACATGGACACATAGAAACCAGGAGGTGCTAGAGTGCTTGCCCTTTTTCATCTGGACAAAAAGTGCCCTTCTGAAAGAGCTTTTTTATATACGCAGTGGAGTGACCTGTTTTCTTTTCCTGGTTGTTAAGGGGTAAACTCCCACATGCTGAGCTCACTCCTTTGAGTATTGACAAATCTAATTCATGTGAGTCAGAAAGAAGAAAACAAAAAATCTCTCTTGTTTTGTACAGATGGTCATTTTGAGTTTGTGAAACTGTGACTCATAAAATCAGCGAAGCCAAAAACATTGTAGCGCCTCACTTGCTTCTCCCGCCCTCCACCCTCGAGAGAGTCTCCCGAGAGCCGCAACTGGAAAACCTCCAGATATCCTCAGCAGCTTCTGAACATGCTGTACCTACGAACCGGCATCCAGGTGTCGCACACGACCTTGATTGGCGGAGAGATCAGTATTCATAAGGACATCAAAGTGAAAGATGGGAGAATCTCTGATCCAGATATGGGGCGTTCACATGGTTTAGGCCGTAGCACTGAAAAGAATAATAACAAATTAGGACTAAATGTTACTTACGTTCGCACGCTCATGTCATTATATTTATTTCTTTGTCTTTTTAAAGCTATTATGCTACAAGGTTATGTTAAAACGAGGTTTAGTGATCAACATTCGGTGGCCAATAAAATCAACTGGGAACGTAATAATTGCTTGCTTGACTTTGAAAAGATGTCCATCTCAAATAGCTTTTATGTAACTACTCTTTTTAAGAGCCGCATCCATTACAATTTCCAGTCTCCGGATCTTGTAAAATTTTGACAGATGTCAGTCTTCCCATAGCGAGCGGTCAGTAATTATTTACATTAGGAGCAGGGGTGACGTCACACCGTGTGTGTTTGAGAAAGTGGTCTGTGTCCAAAAAAAATGTTTTTAATGATGTTACCGAGACAAAAAGCTTGGAGAGTCGATATTTGGCATCTTTTGTCCTCACCATTGATGGATGTCAGAAAATCCATGAGACAGACTTGGATGAGACAGACTGATTCTGCTTTCTTCTCACTTTTTTATTTTAATTTTTTTTGACCCCTTGACGACACCACCTCACAGGCATAGTTAGCATTGCTACCAGGAAACGACAGTGCTTTTTGTTCACTACCTTTACTTATTTACTTTTGACTCATTTTGCACAGCGCCATATATAATCCAGTTTCTGCAGTTTCCCCTCGGGTTGAAGTCATTCACTTCGGTTTATTTTTGGAGCGACTTTGCGTGTTGTATTCAGTCAGCAGATAAACTACTGCTGAGGAACACAATCTGTTTAGTAATTGTACACACCACTGGCAATTGGATTAGGATACATCCAAGAGTGTCCAATTAAGATTTTTATTTTTTTTTTTCAGATGCTGATTTAAAAAGCAGCAGCAGCTTCCAGAGCTCTCTGGGTTTGGAGCTGGGGGAAGGATGTTGGCTGGGACAACTTGATCCCTGGGTCTGTCCTCACCGTGCCACTGTTTACTCCATTTACTGGACAGAGCGGGAGACGTGGGGGGAGGGACAGGCTGGCCTGTGTGACCGGTATTGATCGGGGAGAGCTGGCTGCGGTTCAGATTTGATGTGTTTGGTGTGGATGAAAGTGTGCGGCCGTGACCTGTGAAGGGAAGCGTGGCGTGGAAGGGGTCGTCGGGCATGAATGAGCGATATTAAGGCTTTATTTAAAAGATGAGATCAGCTCACTCGCCGCTCCACATGTGCACAATAAGGCCTGAGCACAGCGGCGTTAAAGTATGGACCATATATTAGTAATCATACAAACCTAGTGATCAATTTCTCTCGAGGTTAGGTGACGTTTTCTTTTTGTGTGCGTTTAGCAGAGCTCCTACTACTGTTTTTGCTTGAAATACATGAAATTTGTCCTGTTGCTTCTGGAAAGTTTCATGAAGTTTGTTAGAATTTTATGAGACAGTACAACACAAAGGACTTCAGGTTTAGAAAGCGAAGCAAAAGATGCATTTTAAACTTTCTTTTTTTTTTTTTCAAACTTTGTGCAAGAAAAATATCTGAAAAGGGTGTGGTGTGTATTCCCTCTCACTCTGGGAATATGACTACCAAATTAAAGTAGATAATGGTATCAATTTTTATTTTTTGTTCCCGAAAAATGGCTGGAAAACTTTTAGATGTAAACGTTGTTGAAGACAGCCGCAGAAAAACCTGCTATACAGTTAGCCGTGTCTCAAAGGACATGCAGGTTTTTCTAAAAGCAGAGGAGCTGTGCACAAAATAAAAATCACTTATTCTTCAACAATTATTTGCCATTTGAAGTGGTTTTGTCCTTTAAAATCACCACAAAAAAATATATCTATGTGGCTAAAATGGTGGAAGTGAAGGGGTTTGACCAATAATCTTCCTTTAACTGGATTTACTGTGAAAAGGTTTCAATATAAAACATTACTGTGATAACAGCTCAGGTTTTCCAGAAGTATTAGAAAATGCTGCCCTCTTGTGTCCCCACGTATAAATGAAGGGGAACGTTCAGGTTCTGTTCTACTGTAATGTAAAAAAGTAATATTAAAAACAAAATAAATCTCTCTCTTTTTGTCCCAGGTTATGAACACGCTGTCCAAGCTTTCCCACACGAACATTGCACTACAAACAGGAGTCAGGTATGTTTTTTTTTTTAAAGAGAGACAGAGAACTGCGCAACCAATATGCAGTAAAACGTCTTCTGATTATTTCCTAAATAATAACCGTGCATTTCCTCTCGCAGACATTTTCCCACAGAGCAGCGCGTGGAAGACGAGGACATCTACAACCACCTGGAGGACCTGATCGAGTACGTTTCCTCCTCGAACACAAATGTCTCCGCTTCCTGCCGTCTTGAAACAAAAGGCCGTTTTGCTGATGAGGGCAGCATTTGTTCCCTGGGTGTCGACTGGAAGGCGGCCACCTCCTCTGCTGCTCCCAGCGTGCGCTCAGCCCCACGGCCCCCCCACAGCTTTTTCTCGCTTTGCCACAAGTTGTGTGGGACTGGACTTTCGTCATTTGTTATTCACGCCCTATTTAGTGCAAGCTTTTGCGGATTTTTGTTGAATAACAGATTTGTTACTTTATTCTGACACATTTTGAGACTTCTGAACTTTTGGGCTTAAAGTCCCAAGAAAATAGTCGTACATTATGATCCACGCTATCTGCAAATAGGACAGCGGGTACAGTTATGCCTTTATCTAAACATAGCCAGACAACACATTGGGCTTTTTGTTATTGATTTTCTTCTGAGAATCGTTTTGGACTGAATTTGAGCTGTCAGCTCATCCACGGTTCTATTTTCGGTCGCAGCACTGCAACAACTTTTCAACGTTTCTGCATCAGCCAGAACAATGAAATCGGTGTGGCCCGTTTCATCCACGAGACGTTCGAAGCCTTAGATTTTGTTTAAACATCTCCACTAATTAGAAGTGTAAAAGGATCTAAATCCAAATGCACAATGCGCTTCGACAATTTTTATCTGTAAATGGTTTGAAAATTCAAGTTTGCGTTTTAATTTACAATTACAGCTTTGGAAAAAATGGAGCATTTAAAATGATCAATTTCTCTGATTTAACTTTTTATAGATATATGCTTAAGTAAATGAAATAAACCTTTTATTCTATGAACTACAGACTGCATCTCTCCGAAACTCCAAGCAAAACATATTTGCAGAAAACTGTCAAAATAACGAAAAGGATGCGACACTTCAGACCTCAAAGAATGCAAAGAAAACAAGTTCATATTTATTTAAAAGCAGCAATTCTAATGTTTTAACTAAGGAAGGGTTCAGAAATCAGTATTTGGTGGAATAGTCATGAGGTTCAGTGCAGTGGGCTCTTATTTTTTTTTTCCAGAACCTGTGTCGATCTATTGCATAAAATCCCCCCTTTAAATACACCAAACTTTGAAACGGTACCTTTTGTGTGCAGCTTAATTCTTTAGTTGCACTATAAAGACGTTTTAGGATTGTAACTGAAGCCTGCGGGGGCAGATGAGTCCACAGTAATAAAGATGTTGGGATGCCTCGCAGTGATCTGCTCTATGTTTAGCGCTGACAGCTCCATTTGCACAGGAAGCAGCGGCAGAGATAAACCAGCCAGCCAGCTGCAGGATGAGGTCGGACACATTGAAAGCTTTCCAAACGTACAAGCCAGAGCCAGAAATTTACATGCAAAGAAAATAACATTTTTAAAAAAGCATGTAGACTGCTGACTTTGCAGAAATAATCCATCTGATCTGCAAAGGGAAACTTTCTAGATCTTTAAAAACCCAAAACGTAGCCTTGAACTTCTGCTTTCCTCATCAGAATCTCCATTTACATGTGAATGAGCCTCGCACAGGCAGCAGAGAATGTCCATCTTATACACAGCATCTGAAATTTCCTGTGCGGTTTTAAATGACGAGTCAGTTAATAATAATGTACATTGTAAATCTTTTTGGCAAGGTGAGCCGTGGCTAAGTCCAATGTTATTCATACCCCTGCCATGTTGGGGCGTAAAATTCATTTCAGGAAGACTGAGCCTGATGAGACAAAAATCTGTCAAAAGATGATAAAAAACATAAAAGGAATATCAGTTTAAAAACAAGTTAAGATTTTACGAAAAAAGTTGCGTTCAATAACTAATTTTTACTCGTCATGAATACTGACCAGTTTTTATGTGTTTCCGCTGGTGTGTCCACGGATCCTCTATCAAATTCAAGTCTGGCCTTTGACTGGACCGCTACAAAACATTAATATTACTTCCAGTGAAAAGAAACATGTTGGCAAAATTAAGAGGAGGGGATCAGGAGGGATTGCCAAAATATTAAAACCGGAGGAATAATTTGTCATTTTTGTTCTGTATGTTCTTATTCTATTTTTTGAAGTTTGTGATGAAGGGATACTATAGGCCTGTACTGAGGAGTCAGACACTCTAGATGCAGTTGAAACCAGAAGTTTACATACTGGGGGTCCAATGACGGGTCCGGTCTATCCGTCACGACGTTGCGTAGATCGTCGGCAGCGTGACGCCACGCGGTCCCGCTCACACACTCTGTGTGCGTCCACAGTGAGAATGGCGTGGAGGACGAGGAGGACCTGTACGCCTGCGTGTACGAGGACGAAGAAGGCGGCGAGATCTACGAGGACCTGATGAAGACGGAAGCCATCCCTCCTCCGGTTTGTGCACCATCTGTAACCTCCATCTCACATCCAGATGGTAAAAGAGTTTTTTAAAAAAACACTCCTGCTTTTGCAGATCAGACTAAATTTAAGCTAAATATCTCCATTTTCCACCTAATTAGTCTTCAAAATGAAAACAGGCAGAAACATATCTAATTTCATGCTTAGTTAATTTGCCACATTTTCTCCCTCTGGTTTAGCAAAACAACAACAAAAAAAACGCTCTTTCATATTTGGCAGGCACTTTAGTGAGCATGTGTAACCCCTGACCTCACTCCGAGGCTTGGATCAGCTACATCTGGTTGGACGGTTTGTAAGCCCACTGCACCGACACATAGTAACCGGCCTCTGCATCCGTGTGTTGGTGTGTGTGTAGGCGTTCCAGAAGCAGGCAGAGATTGACATCAGGAGTTGCTGCTTAACAGAGATCAAGCAGACGGAGGAGAAATACACCGAGACCCTGGAGTCTATAGAGAAGGTACGCTCACCCTGACAAATGGAAATCATTACGCTGCTCCGAACGAGCCGTAACACAACACTGGTGATGTACTTTGCATTTACCGGACCCAAAGAGTTCACGTTGGTAATGTTCCTTGGAAACACATGGAAGTGTTTATGCGTGTCGTTAAGGAAGGTGTATTGAGTTTCTCACTTTCTGTATGATTCTTCAGTGTTGGAAGTTCAGACCAAAGGTGGCCAGAGTTTCAAATGATGGGGAAAAAAAAAAAAAATGTATTTAGAAAATGTATTTTCTCATCAGTCCAACAAGAATCCATCTCTTCATAAGACTCTGAAGTTCACTCATGCTACAAAAATACTTTTTGTTTTGAAAAGGAGTATTACAGTAACTGCAATAATTAAAACAACTTGTACATAAATAAGCTTTACAAATGAGGTAAATTATTGCTATTTGCCACTTTCAGCATAATATGATAAATTGTCTTTATCCAAAGTGTATTGGAGGTCTGACTCAGCTGTTTTGAGTAGAAAAAATGTAATTTGTTAGACAAAAGTAAATCCACTAATGGGTATTTTCAAACATTTTCAAGAGCACTGAAAATCAACTGAATCTCCTTCACCGCTGTATATCATAAAATTGAAACAAACTCACTTCAAATAGGGGAAAAAAGAAATTTGCTGTCAAACAGTAGAATGAGCTTCAGAAGGACCAAGATTTAGCATTTTTCCACTCTGTGTTTTATTTTCAAAAATGGACGTAAAGGAAGATGAACTTTGGAAAGTGGAGTCTGGAGCAATACGATTAGGGTTTTTTTTTTGTCAAAACTACATCTTTTCCATCTTGCTCTGCATTTTCCCAGGACTTTAGGAGGCCCACCGGTTCCAGACCCCCAGCCAAAACCACTTGTCTTCTTCCCCTTGTGTATGTTCACGTCCACAAAAAAAGGTCCCTGGCCTGATTTCCCAGCAGAGAGCCTCGGTAGATAACTTTTGTGGTGGTGAAATTTCGTTTGCGCTCCCCTACTCCATTGAGATGCAGAATTGACTATGTGGTGGGAGTTTTCGGAGAGGGGAAATCATTAAATTGCACACTCTGAAAATGAGATTATTGCCGTGACCCAGACAGGCCTGGTTGTTTCTGCTTACTGCAGCTCTTTGCAGCTTGGCCTCCATAATGTAATAGCGTCTCGTTCAAAATGACTCCCCCACTTTCACTGGAGGAACGAGCTTTCATTCCCGGGCGTTCTTCTCTCTCTCTGTTTCTCCCACAGCACTTTATGATGCCCCTCACCATGTTTTTCTCCACGGTCGAGATGGAGAAGGTGTTTGTGAATATTCCGGTGAGTTATTGTCTTTGTCAACGGGAAGTCACGTAAAGTTTGAAACCGCACCAACTCCTGATAAACATATATTTCCAGATTTATTTTCTGTTATTCAATTTTGCTTATTTGTGTGTAATATGTTTTGCATTTTAATTTTATAATAACTGTCTTTTATATATATATATATATATATATATATATATATATATATATATATATATATATATATATATATATATATATATATATATATATATATATATATATATAGAAGGTCCTGATTTGTTTAATTTTCTGTCTGCTTTTTTTAGGAACTGGTTAAGGTTCACAAGGCTTTATTGCTGGAAATCCAAGAGTCGATCCTCCAGAAAAGTTCCCAGAACCTTTACCAGATCTTCATAAGTTTTAAAGAAAGGTACAAAGGAGCATCTCATTTTTACTGTTTTTTTGTTTGTTTTTTCCCCTCTTCCTCATGAAAGCAGGACAACGTCATGCAATTTTAAAGCCTCTCCTAACTTCATTTTTTTGTAAAAACATGCTCAGATTTTATTTGTATTATGCTGTTATTAATCAAATTAATCAATTGTTGAAATAATTGTCAACTAATTTGGTAATTGATTAATAAACTGGAGTACACAGTCATTTGCTGAAATTAAAAATATAATCAGGGCAGAAACTAACCCAAAAACTGTTAAAAAAATATCTACATTTTGTCTAATCTGATTCAAATGTATTAAATGAGTGTCATCATTGCATTTTAGGTCATTTTTATTTTCTTATTTACAAAAGGAATTGAATTGCTTTTTTTTTATGTCTTTCGAATATTGTAAAACGAAGGCTTACATAGCTAAATGAAAAATCTTTAGAATGTGCCATTTTTTAAAGTCTGATTAATCGTCATAATGATTGACAGATTAAACAATTACTAAAATAATTGGTAGTTGCAGCCCTACTATGTTTTTCCTGTGTTTAACAGGAAAAAATGAGTGTTTATAATGTGATTTCATACCAATCGTAAGATTTACAATCAAACCATGAAAAGCTGTGTAAAGTTTGGTCCGCTGACCAACTGGGTCCTTCTGCAGGTTGTTGATCTACGGGAAATACTGCAGTCACGTGGAGACGGCCATCACCACCCTGGACGACATCTGCAAAAACAGAGAGGACGTGCGCATGAAGCTGGAGGTAAACAGCTTTACGGCTGCTTTAAAATGACAAAGAGATCAATGAATGCCTGACAGTCCACGCAGACGAGATAGCAGCTTTTAAGCTGCACAGAGTGAAATGAGGACGCCCTCAAGTGAGCAAATGAGGCATCGCAGGAGATGCATTGCATTTTGCTATGAAACTTGAAGCATATGGATGTGTATAAGTTAGAAATTACATTTCTTTTCTGGAAAAATGCTAAATATTATTATCAAAGGAATTAATAGATAGTACAATGTACCTATTATTATTTTTATTATTATTAATATTAAATCTTTCTGCAGGAATGTTCTAAACGAGCCAATTATGGCAAGTTCACCTTGAGAGACCTGCTTGTGGTCCCCATGCAGCGGGTGTTGAAGTATCATCTCCTTTTGCAGGTACAGCATCAAAAAGACAAAAAAAAAACAGAAATTTATTTACGTGCTTCACATCAGTTGATTTCACATATAAGTTTTTCTGACAGGTTTGTAAAAAAAAAAAAAGAAAAAAAAAAAGGACTACTTCTGATTTTCTGAGACTGAGAAGCAATATGAAGGTTTTTCATAATCATCTGTAATGATTATGAAAAACCTACAAAAATCAGCATCTATGTTTCCTACAAACCTCTCATTAGTCAGATATTTACATATTTAAGTGTCACACTGCAAACAACAGTGTCTCAGCAGACTTTCAACAGGACAATCTCAGCTAAATCAGTAAGTTTTTGATCTAAAAAACCTCAGCAAATTCATTCTAACATGACTGTTATTATACCATATGTCCACCAGAGGCAGCATTGACTGCGTTTTGCCAGCCTCCTTCCTGCATTTGTCCTTCAGGCTCTGTAGCTCATCCTGACTGTTTGTGTATCTACTTTATGACTGAGTTGAGAATGACCGCAGTGTAATTGTCATTCGATACAGACGATCGAGTAGAAAGAAGAAAATAAATAAAGTGAGGCGATGAAAGGAGGGCTGAGCAACAGCGGAGACAAACAAGTGGAAAGACGGCCCCAGACTGCAAGTCCTTTTTAGGCATTTTCTCAGAAAATAACACTCCTCTGCACATTTTGTAGATTAGTAATACTTTAATAATAAGAAACAATAAAGATTTCTTCAATATTATTTGCAAAGAAAATAAGCAAGCAGGAGAACTTAAAATCTGTAGAGTTTAGATCCAAAAATTATAAATTATAACTTTGAGAGTTCTTCAACATTGGCCTACTAAATTTTGTGGTATATTTTAAAATACCTATTGCATCTATTATCGCATGTTTTTATACAAAGTTTTGTAAGTTTGATGGCATACTGGAGCAGAGTCCGGTGTAAAACATAAAGGACAGTTGTCTCAGGTGACCAGGATTGAGAACCACTGCTTTAATCGAGCAGTTAACAGATATGCTAATTAGCCAGCTGTAGTTTCATCGCAATAATGTAATGGGTGAAGCTACCCAAGTTCCCACACCAAAACTTTCTTTGTCATTTAATCGCCCTGTGTTACGATTTCCCTCACTTAGAAAGGACGTAATTCAGGATGCACAAATAAGGGAAAAATTTATATAAAGATGGATAAAAGTGAACACATAAATATTACAACCTTGAAGCTTGCTATCTCGGTATACATGTGAAAAATTACGTGTTGAAAAGTGCCTGGGCAGAGAAAGACCAGTGGAAACAAATTTATAGAAGCGGGCATGGGGCCCCTTTTGCCCACCTTTTTGTAGCACCCCTGCCAAAAAGTAAAAATAATATTTAAAAAAAGGAGAAATGTGCGAAGATACAGAGCACATCGTTTTGTGTCAATGTGCGTTGAAATCCCTATTGAACAGCTGAGTGACAGCTGGCTGTGCTGAATAAAGCCTCTGCTGGGCTACTTCCTCCCATGGTGACATCTAGAATCTCTCCAACTAATGCCTTGTCACTTAATCTCGCTTTCACCCACCCTCTTCCTTTCTTGGTCTTTTTTGTTTTTGTTTTTTTTTTTCACCTTTTTTTTGTCATCAGCCATTAGCTCGCCCTGCGCTCGTCCTTTCTCCTCTTCCCTGTTTGAATTCCCTCAATAAGTCCATCATGTTTGGCCGCCTGCTATCAGCAAGAGCACTCCCGGTCTCTGTATCTCTGGGTGCGGGGAGGTCGGAGCACAGGCTTGATAAATGTGCCACTGTTGTCTTGCTCGTGATAATAATGCCCAGGTTGAGCTTGACTGACACCGGGGATTTGAGAAACGCCAGGCAGGACAAACACACACACACACACACACACACACACGCACTGTATCTCCCTCAGTGTGGCCTCATGCATGCATGACATCTGTCCTTATCCTTCACTGCCGAAGTTTACGTAGTGCTGCTGCACTGGCAAATAATTTCAGATATAAACTGATGCGCATGCACACAACCTCCTATAGATAAGTGCACACACACCCACACGCACACACACGCTGTATCTGATTTATTTTAGGACCAGGCTGACTTTTTTCATTTTCCTTTCAGAGCAGAAACTTGTAAGTTTTTATGTTGCATGTGCCGACTCTAAAAGTGTTTATGTGTACGCTATCTTTTATTCACCTTCATTTTTTTTTTTTTTGTTCTTTGTGTGTGATTTTTATTTTTCGCTTCAACAGGAACTGGTAAAACACACCCATGACGCCTCTGAAAAAAGTAATCTTCGGACAGCGCTGGATGCGATGAAGGTATTTCTATGAGGCTCCAATCCGACAAAATATAAACATGTGAGCTGAAAGAGCAGAGAATACATTTGAGGATATTTGAAAATACATGAATTTCAGTCATGTGTTTTCAAGGTTTGGAAAGGGCTTGATTTCTATGTAAATTCCTTGAAAGTGCTTGAGGTGCTATCTGCAGGTTTGTATGAAAATTGGAACATAAGTTTATTCAAAGCAAAGCTAGCAAAAACTGGTGACTTTTTAGGTAAAACAAGCTTGTTCTTTCTGTAAAGATGTAAGAGTCAAAATAAAATTACTCAAGTAAAAGTAAACAGTACAGCACAGTAAAAATACTCCTAGAAATCTATTTATTTATTTATTTATTTTTGAAATCTTGCTCAAGTAAATGTAAATGAGTAAATGTGATTAGTTACTACCTAACTCTGGAAAAAAAAAAAGTAATGTCATATGATAATGAATTTGGTTCCTTGTATTGTTTTTATCTCCAAAGTTTGGTGCTGGAGAATTTGGAAAACTTTTACTGTGGAGAAAAAATATGTGAACATTAAATCCTTCACGCAACTTTCCAACCTTCTCTTTGTGCACTAAACTTGATATATATACTCATCGCCTTTTTGATGTATGTGTGTGTGTGCAGGATTTGGCACAGTACGTCAACGAAGTCAAACGGGACAATGAGACGTTGCGAGAAATAGAGCAGTATCAGAGATCCATTGAAAACCTGGTAAAGTCCAAATAATGACACGGTGGTGATTTAGTGCTCTGGGTTTGTACCGCCAGTCGAAAAGTGATCTGTCTTTCTCTTTATCTGCTTCTCCAGAACCAACCTCTGAGCAACTACGGGAGACCCAAAGGCGATGGGGAGGTGCGGGTGACCTCAGTGGACAAACGAGCTAAGCAGGACAGGTAGGATGTCAAGTGAATCCAGACAGGAGGGGCGATGCTGCTGGAAGCCTTTCAGAGAACACAGAAGCTCAGGACGAAGCGTCGATGAACACAAACTTGTTATTCCTCCGCTAAATGGTGTAATTGGGTGAACTGCACCGTAGCGAATGAATGTCATTAAGGGAGTCTTTCTCTCATTGTGCAAACTCCAGTGATACAACCAGTTGTATTATGTAAGATGAACCATTATTTTGTAAAGATTATGCAAGTCTGACTCAAGAGATAACACACACAAAACCCACACATTTTCATTGGGCCATCCCTTTGATTCCCTCCGCAGGCACATCTTCCTGTTCGACGCCGCCGTGATCGTTTGCAAGCGCCGAGGGGACAACTACGAGATGAAAGAAGTGATTGACCTGCACCTCTTCAAGATCACCAACAACCCGACATCCGACAAGGAGAACAGGAAGGTCTGGGTCCCGAAGATGCGACAGTTCAAACTGCTGTCTTAGAACGTCATGAAAGTTTGAGAAATGATACCCAATTTGCTGCACGGCATTCATATGTAGAGTTTATGTTTTGCCTGTCATATTAGATGTAATGCATGTTGCATCACTGTGAGGTTTGCAGCTCTCTAACCTGCACACAGAGCCTACTAAAAGTATTCACACCTCCAACATATTTGCATTTTGTCCCATTACAACCATAAAGTTTAGTTTATTTCACTGGGATTTGTATTAAGGCCAACCCAATGCGATGCAGAGTTAGAAAACATCAGGAAAATGATACATGTTTTTCAATATTTTTTTTTTTTTTACAAATGAAATCTGAAAAGTGTGGCTGTCAATATGTATCCAATATCTCTAAATCAAATCCCGTGCAACGAATTGCCTTTAAAACAATTTCATATTCCAGTCAATCTCACTGAGTTGGAGCATTTTGAATGGGGAAAAACAGACATAAACAGACATGAGTGCGCCTCAAACTCACAAATAAAGTTTGTGGTTGCAACTTCACAAAATGTGGAAAAAGGTTGAAGAGGCGTGAAAACATTGCCAAGAGCCTGAAGGCAATTGTCATAAATCTGCTCTGAAACAAGTCAGTCTGCTTTTCAATTTGGCTCAAAATCTTTCTGCCAATCAATTGTAGGTTGTCTTTTTTTCTCTCTCTCTCTTTCTCTTTTTGCTTATTGCAAAAGTAAAACACGGTGATGAGAAAACTTATTCCAATTCTAAGATCGTAAAATCAGTTTCACTTTGGCAAAGGCAGAAAGACAAAACTTTCCGCGACCTTCCCTTTGGAGAGCTTTTAAAAACGTAATTTATTATTATTTTTTTGAACATGTTCCTGAAAACGTGCAGTTTGTATGCGTACGTTTGTTTCTAATTATCATGAAAAATGCTTCTGTATGGATTTATTGGTTGAGGGTTATTGGATATAAGACACCGTATGTCTGGTAGACTTCGCTTTAAATTTTATACTGCAGTACTTCACAAAGACTCTCTCCCACTTTAACTGTGATTTACTGAAGAGCTTTGGATGGTATTAAATCTCACAAACAGCTTCTCGCCGAGAAGGCTATCCCAGCAGGATGCAGCCCTGCAGTCCGTTTTACAGTTTCCCTGTAAAGTTTCGCTTCTAAATTGATAAAATAATAACAAAATTGCTCTATTAACGTGCCGTAAAATGACCCGAATAAAACAAGCCCCGCCTAACGAGTCGTCCGCTGTAATGGAGGCGAGTTCTGCGACGTCAGGCCCATTATTGCCTCTTTATGACTGAGTCAGCAAAGCTCGGAGATCACGTTGGAGTCCTGACAAACCAATTAGCAGAGCTATTTCTGCGTAATGAACGACCATAACCATTTGTCAGATACACCCGGGTTCATAAAACTGAATGAAAATGAACTTAGCATGCTTCTTTATAGGGTCTTATAAGCACCTGTAACAGTCTCTGTAACTCCCGCTGCCGCCTTCTCCGCCGTAAATCCCCCGGCGTGCTCCGAAAATGAGCTACACGCAAAAAACCTTTCAGGCTCATAACAGGAACAACAAAATAATTAAAAAAAAGAAAGCAGTCCTAAATAATTTGCTGCATCCTTGTTCCTGCTCTTGTTTTACATTCCCTTATTCATTTTTTTCCCCCTCCGCATCCTTCTGAAACAGTGTCAGACTGGAACAGCCTGCCTCCTCCCAGATGGTGCTATCATTAAACCTCGCTTTGGGCCTGACTACTCTTGTACACACAGTGAATACAAAGTGCCAACTGGGGGAAAATATTGCCAATCATAATGAAGAATGATATCTAAGGCGTGCCAGGAAACATTGATTTGGGTAATAATGACGCAGTAATGGCAGACATTAGTGGGCTTAGGCCCATATGGATTACATTTATGAAGGTTGCAGCAGTTTCGTCGTCGTTCACCTCTGACATGAAGAATGTGACGCGATTTCTTCGCTGCTATATTTGCGCTAGCCGTGATGGAAATGAACGCGTCTGCTTGAAGGTGGCGAAAATGAGAACCTCCATCATAAGAGCAATGTTTGTATGCAGATTATCTGGAAGTAAAACGGTTTTGCATAAAGTATTCAGAGACCTTAGATTTTTTTGCCTTAAAAAAAAAAAAAAGAAAGAAAGATTTTCAGTTTCCTGACTTTTGGGTGGAATATTTTCTGTTTTGTTTTGGTCTATGTTGTTAGTCCATACTTGCCGGCACAAATGAGGCGTTCCTTGGAAAACTCCTCCTCTATTTCTCCAAGTTTAACAGGTGGGCATGCCCAAGTCTGTTTTCATTAATACGTTGCTGTGTTTTGAGACCCAACTTAGTTTTCAAAGAGAAAAATGCTTTGTGTTGGAACGTTTTCCAGTCCAGAAGTATTCAAATTAGTTTGTAGTCGATAGTCAGAAGAATGGCTGCAACATCCTGAACACTTTTCTCCAAGAGCTAGCTAGCGAAACATCAAGCGAAAACCTTTCTTATTAGCCCCTTGCTATTGCTAATTTTTATTTTTTTCATTTCAAAAACTACAATCAGCTTTATTTATTTGAAGCTTTGGTTGGAAAATTCACACATCCTTGAAATCCCTCATCCTAGTTGTCAAGCACAGTGGTGGAGGAGTGATTATCTGGGCTTGTTTTGTAACCAGAGGCCTTCAGCACCGTGTGATATATTTTCTCATTGCATGAAAGCATGTGCAATATTTTGTCATACAAAAGAGAGGATGATCACACGCTCTACTGAAATTGACAGAATGTCTGACTATGAAACCAATCGAGGTTTGATGATCCAGTCAACGTTCACACTGTGGTGGCACCCAGAGAAAGCTTTGAAAGGAACTGAAGCACTACCGTGTTCCTCAGCAATACTGAAAAAAAGAGCTAGTTTTCCATGACTTTATAATGACGGCTAATAGCATGTTAATAGCACGCTGCAGACCTCGTTAAAACAAAAACGATAAAACCGCTCTCATAAAAAGACAAAACAAACATTGTTTTCCTCCTTTTCAAATTGGCAGGAAGGCACTCTCACCCTTCAGCACAGGCCACGGCGTCCACTGGGACTGCCAGCTTGGAGCGGCACTCTTTCCTTTTCCTCTGTTCATCCGGTCGAGGAAATGCGCCGCTGCTCTTTTCTAACCGCACGGTGAACCCGGACCAGCTTAACCTTCACAACCGAGTTCGAAGAGTTTGAAACCACGACCGGCAGTCATGAGAAGCGCGTCCTGCAAAACCATCTGCTTGGCCTCCGCGTCTAAAAACACAGACACCCGAGTCGACACGGATGCTAATGGGCTGATATTTAGCCTTTAAAGTGGATAATTGTAGCCGATTGCAGACCCGCTCGCCGCTTGGGTCTTTGCATGCCGTCTGAAACCCAGCAGCGATGCGCCACAGTTAACACACTCATTCTTTCCCCTTCTTCCTCTGCATCGCTTCATTTGCTCTCCTCCTTCTCTGTCTTTGTGCTTGCTCTCCCCAAGGCATCCCTCCTGCATTTTCCATCTCTTTGTCCCCATCTGTCTTTTCTGCCTCCTCTCCCTCAGTGTGTTTTGCCTGCCGCCGTTTCATCTCCTGTCTCAAACATGTTTGATTTTTCATTTATTTTTTTGGGGGGGGGTTTGTGTTGCAGTGGTCCTACGGATTCTACCTCACTCACAACCAAGGCCAGAACGGCTTTGAGTTTTTCTTCAAGACCAAAGAGCTGAAAAAGAAGTGGCTGGAGCAGTTCGGCATGGCCATGTGAGTGTGCTTTCTGTGCAAATGCAACGACACGATGATCTCACAGCACAACACGTTGCTCGCCCTGTTGTTCTGGTCCGCTGTGACTGAAGGATGACAAAAATGAAAGTGACACAAAGGGGAGTTGGCCAGGAGACGCGCTCGTACTGAACATTGCAGTCAGACAGACGAATCTCTCGCTGCGTGCTGTCGAACTGCATCGACCGGTTCTTGTCCTGGATGGGATCCAAACGCTACAAAAGTGACTGATTCCAAAAGTAAACAAAGTGAAAGAAACAATAATCCACTATAATCGTGGAGCCGAGGCAGATCCAATTCACCACGTTGTTCCGTTTTCTAAAGCGAAGCCCAATCCATGGTTCTTAGGCTTTCTTTCTAAAACCGACGTAAACGTCGCATTGACTTCGAACACATCAAATGCAGCCAACTTGGCCTGGTAACGCAGGTGAACTCTGTCTGCACATACTACTGACAGACCCAACCAGCAGGCAACACTTTATTATTCCAGGCGCAGACATGCACCTTGTCGGTAACTTTCCCGGGATTACGCCATCTGTTGTTGACAAGCACTGCAATCCCCCCTTCGCTATTATTGTCCCGGTGACAGAACGTACAGACAGGAGTAGGAGTATTATTTGTGCAGCCATGTCTGGGTGAGCAGCATGTTAATGCAGTTGATAGATATTCACTGTTCCTTTGTCTACGTTCGGTGTGAATACTTCAGGGATTGTCAGGTGTAGACTGGAACTTCCTTTTCTTCCAATGGGGGTAATTATGTTTAGGCATAGGTAGCTGATTTGCTCGCATTCTTTAAATGGAGAGGAGATGGATTTAAAAGCAAGGTTTTGAAAAGTCTGGATTAGTTGCCTTACTTACATTTGCTGTAAGTTTGTAGAAAAATGAAGCAATCCTAACGCCTGCTGACAGCCATGCGATTCCCTAATCAATGAACTCAATAGTCATTCCCTTCAATAGCAACATATAGCCATTTAGGCTTACGTTGAAGTGTCTTTTTAGAGGCAAGCTGCATGTTGTGAGAAAACTAACTGCACTGGTCCACTGGGATTCAAAATAGGTGCAGGAGAACGAAATGAGCGAAATAACATTTTATAAGTAACAGGAAAAGTGAGGATGAAGAAGCTGAAGTGTTGATGTGAGGCTGAGAAAACAGGAGCTATATGATTTAGCTCGCGAGGCTAAATTAACAAGCCGCAGGAACAGAGAGGTGTTACAGAACAATCACATGTTCTCTCTCGCGCTCTTCATTTTCAGACCAGTCGGATGTTTGGAGCATTTAGTCACATAATGCATGGATTGCAAGTTACTGAAAGAGAAATCACACCGGTTTAATATTTCTTCTTTGAAGAAGACACATTGTCGTCTCGACGAGAACATATTTTATCAGTACTGAAAAAAAAATGGCCAATTTAAATGTTTTACAAGACATAGACTGTGTTTTAGAAATGTGTAATCTGTGTAGGAATATTACCAGATTTTACTAAAGTGTTTGTTCTTGACTTATTCTCACCATCTGAGTGTGATGTCACATTAAATCAATTTTAGAGTTTGAACATGCAATCTGGACTCAATAATAATAAAAAAAGACAATTAATTTGTACCTTCCTTTTTGTAAATCCTTTTATAACTGAACGTTGTTGAGAAATAATCTTTATTAGTTGGAATCAAAACCTGCGTTGAGCATTTTCTAGTTCCAAGTCAGTGCTAATTATTATTAGCAAACAATGTTTCTCCCTATCCTGTTTAAATCTCATGTAGACATTTAATAAGATGCAAACCATCCAAAATGGTAACTTATGAATGACACCAATCACTTACTAGCATTAGAAGCCATGTTGAATACTAAACACAGAGCTACTTGCCAGTATTCAATTATGTTTTGTTGCGTTATGTTGCATTTCTTTTGTTTTATGGTGGCTGGCAGCCCATCTGTGACGGTGCATTGCCACCATCTATTAAACTGGATGGTGGGCAGGAGAAACAGGAAAACAAACAAACAAACAATGAAGCTTAATAATTTGTCTTTGTATTAAATTAAACTCATATTAAGTCTGTATTTTTCAAAAATAACTTAATTTGAGCTTTTAATTTGCTGACATCACGCTGCTAAAATGTTTTCAGTTGTAAATTTAACATTAATTTTCTATCTTAAGAGATTTATTAAACCCTGCGTGCCGCCTGTCTTGTCTTTCTGACTGGGAACTTGGACTATACATCTCATATGAGGTTATCACAGCCGACAGCACTTCTCAAAATATATCTTGCCATTTTATAAGTCTAAATGTCGTTGGTCATTTTTAAGGGGTTTAGTTGCACTTGTGTTGACAGAAAAAGGAAGGAACTTTATTTGATCATAAAAATGCCAACTCTCTGGATTAAAAGCAATTTCCATCATGGCCGCGTTTGTCCTATTTTCCACGGAAAAGGTCAGTTTGACTAATTATTCCAGCATCCAGGAAAGCAGCTGCACATATGTAAGACGGTCAGATCATGCCTGAATACGGGAACTGCAAACACTCTTACTCATGAAAACCTGGGTATTTCTGTCCTCTCCTTCTCAGTCACTGTCATTCTTTCTTTCTTTCTCTTTCTTCCTTTCTTCCTTTCATTCTTTCTTTCTTTTTTCCTTTCTTACTTTCTTTCTCCTGCCTTTGTTTCTCTTTATTCTTTCTGCACACTGCACAGACACACTTGCTTCCTTGTCCCCAGGGGCGGAGGAAGCCTCTTGTGTTCATTTTGGGAGCAGACCTCGCCTGTCTACTCACAAACCTCCCCTCCCCACTTCAAACAAGTGTATCGGTTGAAATGCTGCCGCAGATTTTGTCTGCCGCAATTAGAAGTAAAGTGGGGAAGAAAACCCCCAGCAAAACAAAGTGTTGCTCTCTGCTTTCAAAATTTGACATCTTTATCCAGACAGTTTGCAGCACTGAAACACACCGACTTAACAAGCACAAAGTTATTTTTGTTCATTTAGTTTTATGAGAGGTTTAACGTTTATGCCTTTGCTCCTTTTTTCTTAGATCAAACATCCGACCTGAGAACGCAACCAACAATTTCCACGAGTTCCGGATGCACACCTTTGAGAGAATCACCTCCTGCAACTCTTGCCACATGCTACTGAGGTAAGAGGCTCGCCGTTCTTCACATGCATGCACACCAAAGGAGACGAAGCTGGGGCGGCACAAAACATCGTCAGACATTAAAGGCGCTTTAAAACTGCTGTCACACAAGACCTTCAAAAAAGGCCTCGACTCTTCCCCCGTTCCTCTCCGGTGTGCACCAACAATCCGTTCGCCGCCTCGCCTTGTTCTCCCTCTCCTTCCTCGGCTTCGCCTATACAGAACTCCTTTTGAGTTCGCTGAATGCTATCGGCGACCCAGAGGACTGCGCCTGGCGGTCTCTCCCCGCAGAGGGGACGACTGAGTGGTTTCACCTACAGAAGACAGGCAGCGAGAAAAAATGTCTGTCACACTCCGGCACTTCTTCAAGGCGACGGATGGAGAGTGGGGACGAGATTATTGTAGGAGAGAGGCAGGCGATGGAGGGAGGCTGTTTTCTTTTCTATTGGGTGTACTTGTGGCTTTTCTTGGCCATTACTTTTTTTCATACTTTTTAATGCTGTTTATAATATTGAACAAAATGAGTTTGTTTATTTAATTTCAGTTTCTTACCAATAACGCACAAATATGTTGGTCTAAATGAGGTTGCAATGTGACAAAATGTGAAAAAGATCGAGGCTCATGAACTCTTTTGCAACGCACCATGTGTAACTAGTCTTCCCTCTGGTGTTTTATTTCCGCGTTCATCTGAATTCCCCACCCACATCACAAAATTTAGAGTTATTGTTTCGACAGCTGATTTAATATTCTCTCACCTCTTCAGACGGAGCCTCTCTTCAATCTGTTTTAGAGGCTCTTAGGACAGGCTCCAGTCACACTTTTTGCTCTTATTTATTTTGGGTAGAAAGTTAGGCAGTAGAAAGATGATTCCCTAATAGAATATGTGTTGTGAATCAAAGGCAAGGATGCGAAAACCTGCACTATATTCACTGACATATTACGCTGCAGGAAAAAGTTTAGTATATTCCAAAGAGCTCTGGTTTCACCACCTGACTTGAAACGTTAGGCTGTGTTTGTGAGTTCGAAGCCAAATTTGAATTATGACTTATTACATCATCAGGCTGATTTTAAATGTGACTCCATATTTTGACCTGGACAAGAAAAAGAACATTTTTCTGTGGATTTAAGCTCGCGGCAATTCACTTTGAATGATTCTTAAAAATCCTCAGTGGAAAAGAAGAACATCAGAGTTTGCAGGCGCTGGGCTTTTAACGCAACTTTTCCCAGAGTGCTGCAGGGTTAACATGAATTGTAACATTTTGAGACTTTTTGGAACATCGGTGCATTGTCAGTATAGCAGTCGGTACTTCTGACTGTTTCTTTATGAGATTTTCATTTCATATAATGGTGTCGATTCACAAGGCACAACACAAGTCGAGCCTCTCCAACTCATATCAAAATATATAGAGATCAAATGTGAAATAAATTTCATTCATGTCAATACAAATAATTCAAATTAGTTACAAGAGGATGTTAAAATTATATCTGGATTCCGTTTTATTAAGAGAAATATTGCATTTTATATATATATATATATATATATATATATATATATATATATATATATATATATATATATATATATATATATATATATATATATATATATCGTTTTGTGACATTTGGTATTGCCTGGGTACTTTATCTATGTACGCTGAGAAACAGAAGTTACTTAATTTCAGCAATGGCTCAAATAATCGCAGAAGAAGTATCTGGTAACAGAAGAGGTGTGCATAAGACTGACATTACACTGTCATAAACCAGACATAGCACCTCTTATGAACACAAAGGAGTCTTCATGAATGTTATGCATTGTTTATTCGGTAAATAACACTTTTAATGGAAATTTTCATTGCAGCCTTGCATTAAAAGTCCATTAAAAGTGTCAACTTTGCATTAACAGTGCAATTATTCACCAAATAATGCAAAGCCGACACTTTTAATGGACTTTCAATGCAACTGTTAGAACAACTTTGCATTAAAAGTGCTATTGTTTACCGAATGACACTTCGTGACGACATTCATGAAGACTCTTTCGTGTTCATGACAGCGTCATGTCACATCCATACAAATAAAGCTGTACCGAGTTTCTTTTATAAAGAATAAATCGATGTAGGGAGTATTCTTTATGTTTTTTGGCAAAGAAAAATAATCTGTACTTCTTGTAGGGAAGGATTTATGGAGGAAGTTGTCAGCAAAACGAGTTAACTAGTTAACAGCTCCATCCAGAACAGAGGCACAATTTGACACTGGAGAATGTATTTCAGGCTGGGATTTCTGTGATTAAAATAAGGGAATGTGCATTACTGATCTTGACATTGGCCTTTAACAAAACGTAATAATTTCTTCTTTTTTTTTTCACAACTGGGGACTGCTTGTATGACGCGAAGCGTTTTGAACTACCTTGTTGAAATGTGCCATACAAATAAACTTGCACACAACATTAGGAGCAATTTCACAAAACCACCGAGCCATTAATATTCTACAGGAAATAAAGCCAACAAATATTTGTGTGCGCAAGCTTCCAAGGATCACCGGGGGAAAGAAACGGTGCTTAATTAAGGTCGGATGGAGCAAAACATCGTAATTTAACACATAAGCCGTGCTCTCTTTTGTTCCAAAGCAGCAGCTCAGAGATAACGATTTAAACTTTTCCTTTAGAGAGATTAGATGGATAATTATCCCGAGCTTAGGACTTACTTTTTATCATTTATTAGGGGGCTTCTGGAGTTGTTATGCAAAACAAAAAGGGTTCATTGCACCGTTTTTCCTCTGAAGGTTCAACGATGCTAACTGATGCGTGAAAGCTCCAGAGGTTTGTTGGGGGAACTTCAGTGAACAAACACCAGCCCTTAACGCAGGGTTTGCACTGCAAAAACAAAATCTTTTTTGGTCTTATTTCTACTGTAAATATTTTATTCCTCTTGAAACACAAGAAAAGTAACTTACAAGCAACGTTTGAGCAAGAGCAGCTCATTTAAAGTCAATAATTCCTTATTATTGATAAAATTACTTGTTCCACTCACAAATTTTCTTAATTATAGCACAGGAAAAATGTCAGCTTTATAACAACTAGCATTTTTTAAAATAAGTATTAAGTAATTATTGACTTAAAAAAGTTAATATCTTGCTAAAAGGTTACTTGTAAATATTATTTCAAAGTATGTTACAAAAAATACCTGGTGAGACTTTGTGTTTTTGCAGTGACACATCAGTGTCACATTCCAAGCCGGCAACACTTATTTTTGGGGAGGGATGGATGTCGCTAAAGCTTCGGCTAAATGCGGTTTTATAAACTCAGACACTGACTTCGCACACTTTCCAGATTCATATTTGTCAAAAAACAAACAAACAAACAAACAAACAAAAAAAAAACAAAACGTGAGAATTTGAGCTTTATCCCGAGGAAATCCGCCCAAATCAATCGCAGCCCAAAAATGTCACCAGACAGAGCGGCGTGGTGAGCTAACCCACGCAGCGCTGCACCTCTAAACAAGAGGAATTATCTTTCCAGGCTGTTCCACAGCCCGTCTCCGTAAACCTGACAGAGTGCGGCACGGTGCTAAATCTTGCATTCAGCCTCCTGCCTAACCCTCCTTAGTGTGCTGAAAGCTGTTTACTCTTTCTGCATGATCATGTGCTGCTGTTCTGTCTCTGCAGGGGCGTCTTTTACCAGGGCTACCTCTGCTCCAAGTGTGGCTTAGGTGCCCATAAAGAATGCCTGGGACGCTTTGGCTGCTGCGGAAAAACAGGTGAGTCTTCCTCTCACATCCCGGCTTACTTTCTGGGGGGACCCTTAAACCAGTGGCCCTCAGACCCCGGGCCGTGGTCCGGTACCGATCCGTGGACCAATTGGTACCGGGCTGTTTGGCTGGCAGAGGAGAATTTGCCCAATCTCTGTTTGGGTGTGGTGACGTTCTTACGTCCAGGCCGCAGTAAAATTGCCAAGCCTTGACCGGTCCGCGGTGATAAAAACCGGTCACTCAACTTAAACTGAACTTTATAACCTGAAGTGCAGTTTTATTGCAGAACATTAGAGCAGTAACACACACACAAAAAAAGATAAGAACCTTTTTTTTTCTAAACTAAGGTCCAAGTATTTCATTATTTTTTGGTGTGCAACATAGACGTTTATTCTGCAGCTTCTCTGCTTCCTTAGGTGTGCTTTTGGGTGCGTTTTGAAGGGAACGTCAGTCTCTGTCGCTGCATATAGATCCCAATGCCCAACAATACTTTTACAGAGGAGTTTTCTAAAACTTTTCGTTTCGTCCCTGCGTGTCTGTCACTCAGCTCGCTGCGCAGGCACAATGACAGCTTTGAGCGAGGTGGAGGGAACACTTCAGACAAAACCCAAAAAGAGAAACAGGCCTTCAGAAACCAGCTTAGCATGTCTGCCGAGCGAGTTTTTGCGTGAGGCGGCGTGTCTGTGACAGGAAGAGCTGAAAACTGAAACTATTTGATCATTTATTTATTTATTTTTGGCTCCTTATAGTGTCCAGTTGTGTTTTTGCAACATTTTTTTTTTTTTGCACTCGGGCTGAACCCTTCCAGTGCGATGGTGATGCAGCTTGTCGCACTCTTACTGCTGCGCGTTTGGATTCCCAGTAGACAGCCGCCACCTCCTGTTTGATCTGGCATCCGTCACGGCGCCATCAGGGCGTAGAGGCAATAACGGCGCTGCCTGGCCCACCTGGGTGCCGCAGTTTGCCGGAGGAGATTGGGGCTTCGTCGTTGGTCAGAGGGCGGCGAGACGCTTGTTTGAATTTGCCCTCTAATTTCTTTGAGTTTCTCAAAAGAGGAACCTGATCCCGTCCAAGCATTTTTCACTATTTTAGAAACTTTTCCATGCAAAAGTCTGCATAGCCTTTGAACTTTTTAACATTTTGTTCTGTTACAACCACAAATTTCAGTAGATTTTTCAGGGATTTTATGTGATGGATCAACACAAAGCTCTCCACGACTGAGAAATGGAAGGAAAACTCATACATGTTTTTTTTTTTTTTACATTTTTATAAATAAAAACGGCAATGCTCATTTTTTTTCAGCTTCCCTCGGTTTCTTAATATCCCCAAGTCATCCAATTAGTGATTAAGTAATGAATCCAGCTCTTCTTTTAAGGCCTTGGTTTGTCAATATACCAACACTGATACCAACGCTAATTTTTGGTATTCAAGTGAGATAAATCATCAAACATCTGACCTACAGGCACTTTTGTGTTTTTTTTTTCCTTAGAATTATTTTGTTGAAACTTGACAGAAACTAGATCAAGTTTGATGTCGACAAAATACTTGAATGCCATACCAACATAATAACAGAAAAACAAAGCAAATTTTCATGCATTGTTTAGAAATAAACAAAGTGCCAAAAAAAATGTTTTCATTTGAGATCAAATCAAGATCATTTCTACTATGGAGGTGAGAAACTACAATTCACAAACGAAATAAAATTTCCAGATGGAATCATAAAGTGTTGATCTGACCACTCTAGTATTGATTCGATTCTGACACCGACTTGGTATCAATATCGTTATTTTGGATTGATCCGCCTCACATTCAGCCTGCATGCAAAATGCCACGGTATCGTATGTGAAGCAAGGTGGAGGCAGCGTCATGCCTGGGGTCCATTTATCTGAAGTTGGGTCAAGAAAGCTGGTCAGAGTTAATGGGAAGATGAGTGAAGCTGGGAAGTCCTGGAGGAAGACATGTTAGAGGCTGCAGGACAATAAAGACATTCAGCCAGATCAAATAATGTCCATTTGTTGAAATGGCCCAGTCAAAGAAACACCTAAATCTTGTCCAGAATCTGTGGCAGCTGTTTTTTTTATGTATTTTGCTTTTCACAGAGGCTCTCAATCGCATAAAAACCCAATGAAACACTCATAAGTTATGTGGCTGTAAAGTGACAAAATGGAACAAAAAAAATAAATAAAAACGTCCAAGAAGCATGAATGCGTTTGCAGCACATTTTCCTGTATCTGCAAATTTGCCCAGAATTTGATTTGATTGGTTGCCTTTTTGCTTGTTGGCCTCGGGATTATTTCACTGTGCAGCACAGATTGAACAGCGGGGCGTCGCGTCACGCAGAGCCAAACAACATGGCATTAAAAGCCTACGTTGGCTTGTTTGTGTCACCGAGCGATAAGGTTTGTATGCCTGCGTTTATCTCTGTTATTAGCAGCCGGTGCTGCTTGTCTGCGCAGCAGGTCAAGGTTCAAGCTTAGGGAACAACAGGCCTGCCGAGGGAGGTGTGCACGCTGCCGCTAAAGGTAACGCTCAGATTGGTGGCGCTCCGCCAGCTGGCGTGTGTCTCCTGCGCAGGTATGAACACACACGCTCAGGTGCATGTGTGTGTGTGTGCTGAACGCGGTTGCGTGTGTCTGGGGGAGGAAGGTTGGTAATCCGTCCCTAAGGGAGCCAATGAAAGAAAGCGGTGGAGCAAAAACCACAGGTCTGCCCCCCCATCCCTCCTCCCTCTGCCTCGTTACCTCCTCTATCCCGGCTGTCAGGTAGCGGCAGCGCAACAAAACAAAGCGGAGCGCGGTCAGACGCGAGCGTCCGCCTTTCCCACTAATGAGGGAGTGTTGCCTTGTACCGATGAGTGTGTGCAAGTGTTTGCGTGCACCCACTAACCCGTCATTCACTATGCCTGTTCTCAAACTTCTTTCAGATTCCGGCTCCGTCAGAACTCAGGTGAGCTTTGTGTTTTTGTGTGTGTCTGTGTGTGTCCATGCCGATCTGCGAGTGTGTACTTTTGCGTGTGTGTCTGTAAAGCTTTGAAGGCTGCTCTCCTCTGCAGCTATTTGCCAAGGAGACTCCAATTGACTTCAGTTACTGCAGCAATACCCGACGCCAGGAAATTGAGTGTTTTCTGTAGCTTTAACCCGAGTCGCTGCTTGTGAAACTGCTGTATGTTTTTACCTCTACAACGTTTTCAACTTGCTCCGAGCTGCAAATCAGACTCGGCTTTCCTGCTGTCAGCTGCTGCGCTAATGAGAAGCGTTTGATTCTCTCTTTAACTGCTATGAAACTGGAAAGGAAAAAAAAAAGAAAAAAAAACCTGTGCACATGAGAAGTGTGCAAAAGTGTGAGCTTTACTGGATGAATAAAGATGCTTTGCTCTCTGCGACTCTTTTTTTTTCTGCAGCAGTTCATGTTGCAGAATTGCTACATTGGCCTGTGGGTAAGAGCAGGCCAGCTTTTTAAATATTAATAACTTGTGTTCGACTTGTACACCCCATCTAGAGATTTTGATCCCGGTTTTTAGGGAGAATGAAAAATTGATCTGATGTTGTGTTTTATGCTGTGTGCGCTTGCGGTGAGAATCACCATGTGAGGCTGCTTTGTTCTGAGTTGTGTTTGTGTTCTTGTGTTTTCGCAGAGCAAACATCGAGATCCAGGTAAGCGAATAACAGCGAGGTACCCTCCCACTCTGCACACACCATTCCAGCACGTTCCCTCCCTTACGAGGGAATGTTTATAAGCACAGACTGTTCCCTGTAAGAAAAATGATCAGACGTCAGCATGCAACTTTGCACTGTACAAGAGCTCGTTAGCACGCAACAAAAAAGGATTTGAACCCGTTGCTTTCCAAGCATATCATCGGTACTTGTGCCTCTGATTTAACGCTTATGTTCAATACAGCTAGGATCCATTAAATAAAAATATTTAGTTATTAAATAAACAGAGTTATACATGCACAGAGAGACTGATGCACCAAGCGATGCACTGTCAGTACGAGCTCACAAAACGATTAAGGAGAAATTACATATTTTAAAAAAAATGTAATATTAGATGCCAAAACTAGATGCAACAATATGTGGCACAATGAGGGTTAAAAGGCTGTAAATGTCTGTCAGGGGACATGTTTTAAATTTCATTCATAATAGTCTTAAAAAGATCTAGAAAGTCATAAATTTGAGCTTGTTAAACCTGCACAAACCCTGATTTAGTGACCTAATGTGGCAAGGATGAACCAGTCACCACAGTTTCTTGTGAGGGTCTCATAAAACCCCAGACCACCTCTGCTGCTGGATATCAACCAGTTTTTAGTAGAAACCAAACCTCTGAATCTTTTGTCAGCATATCTAAGTTGTGTAGTTTAAATGGGCTTTTTTTTTAAAAAGTCTGTTTCCCACTTTGTGTCTTTCTGCAGAAGGTCATGACTAACACAAAGCATCAGTGTGTGCGTAGTGTTTGTGTGCAGGCCTGCATTTCACTCTGTTCCTTTAATCGCTTTTAAACCAGGCTCTCAGCGCTCACTTTTTCCACCCCTCCATCCATTATGCTGCAGAAAATGATTCCTGGCTGAAGATGCATTAAAATCAATAGGCATTAGATTGCCCCGACACCTCGACGTTTTATGATACTTTGCCGCCTCTGTTCTTTGTCTATTTTCAAACGGTGCGCTAACATGTGGCTCGTCTTTGTGTGGACGGGAAAGGAATTCGTGGCCCCGAGTCTCGATTCTCCATGGCCCCCGTGTCTTTAGAAGTCCCATTCAGGCAGGATGGCACATGTCAGGCTGCCAGCCGCAGAGCAGATGCTGAAAGAAAAGCACACCAGATATAGCTGTGCTAGCTCACAGTGCGACCATGCTGACTTCTCGTTTATTTGGCTTTCATCATGCCAGCACTTGTTTTATTCTTGGCATATTCTGGCATTGCCAAACTCGTGTTTTTTTTCCAGAATGCAAAATTAAGATATGTAGAAGTCTTTCCACTGTGCGCATAAGACGTGAGGCTGGCATGAGTGGATGTTTCACAAAGGCAAATTTTTGTCTTTTTGGTTAAAAATTTTAACTGATAGAATTCAAAGTGAAGAAAAACAATTTTAATAAATAAAATAAAATCTTGAAAGATTTAAGTTTGAAATCTTTCAACTTAATGTATGCGGCACTAAAACTCTGCAGTTGTACAAAAATCACTAATGAATATAGAACAAAATGTATTCTTATTGCTTTCTTTGGACTTTCTTTCAGACAGCAGAGCAAGGAGTCAGGAACGTGTTGTTAGCGAGAAAGCAAAGCTCACTCCCACTTATCTTTTTGTCTGAAAGCAGAACAGCCAGTCATGCGCCACGGTGCACGCTTTCTTATCTTTAATATTCAAATGAATCAGGTCCACCTCACTTGTAACACCAGCAGATTGAAAAGCGAGAGCGTTACCGCTTGTGTGCGTGTGTGTGTGCGCGCACAGGTGCACTCGCTCTTTCTTTCCGTCATTTACATCCACCTCGAAAAGCGTGAAGATTTCAAGAAAGCAAACATACCCCGATATTGCGGCCACCCCACCTTAGATTAGCTCATTTTAGTTGGCATAATGAAATGTCGGGAGGGGGAAGAGAATAAGCAATAAGTAGCACAGAAAGCTTAAAGAGCTTATGTAACCCAAATAAAATTATCTGGGTATAATATGTATGCAAATATGTCAGGTGTACGCAAAGTAAATCTGAGGAAATTGTCAAGCAATAAAAATAAGGAAATAGTTTTTCTCATAGTTTCAACGGTGTACAAAAATATGCAGTGTTATGTTTCAAAATCCCCTTTTTGCCACACAATATAAAAACATATTGAAAACTCGCATGGTTATTTAGTGCTTAAACAGAAGGCGATAAATCTTTACTCACCTCAGCATGCCGAATACTTGAAGTGGCTTCCCCAACCGAGGAGACTTATGAATAACTTGGCTTAAAATTAATTGACTGCCTGGGTTCACTTATAAACTTTGTGTAGACCATTAAACTACAGCAGCAGCAATTTATCTGTTGAGAAAAGAAAAGTGAGCAAAAGTGTTTTTATAAGTATTATTTGAGCAATATTAGCCAACGAGGCCTTTGTGTTTCTCTTGCTATTTGCTGATCCCAAACAGTGGCTGATCGTCTTCATCCTGCAGGTCTGCCCAAGATGCTGGTCATCAGGAACTACTTTGGCGTGCCGAGTCCTGCCTCTGGTCCGGCACTCACCATCCAGACAGGAGACATCATCGAGTTACTATGCGCCGACCTGCACAGCCCATGGTGGCAGGTCAGATTCCTTTCTCATCTCCTGATTGCTCATTTTATCCACTCTGAGAGCCATTCCCAGATACTAATTCATGTGAAGATGCATAGTGTTTACTATTCTGTAAAGCTTGAGTTTAATTTTACATCCAGGGTGTCTTAAACTCATATATTTAGAATTGAAAGTCTTACAAATTGTGCTATGACAGGAGTATTTAACCTTGCATATTCTATGTAGTTTACCGTTTTTCCTCGCTGGACTTTACTGGTATGTAAAGGTTTGAGTCCTGTCATCTTCACTGCATTCTGTGATATACGGTGGTTACGGCTGTAGCGAGTTGCAAATTTTTTTTCAAATTTTCTTTTAATTTAGTTTCCATCAGTTATATAAAAATAGCATTTGTCTACCAAGGGTATAATTATGAGTACAAAGGAAATACTGTCCAAGTGTAGAAAAGAAAATGTTCTGATTGATAGCTAAAAGTAGCTGCTAACGTACTCTTGCTGGCTAGCTTTTTTTTTTTTTTACATGCAAATTTATCAACAGTTGGATCATTTTTGTTGCCGACCCATACAATATATTTATTGGCGATGTTTTTGTGAGTGTGTGTGGATTTCTGTCATGTTACAGGTCTCATTGATAACGGTATTACAAAGATCTTAAAAAGTCTTAAATTTGAGTTGGTGAAACCCGCAGAGATAAAGAGATGATCTCTTGGGCTGAAATGAATTCAGCCTTTCATGAAAGTGACGACATCTCCGAACGAAGGGCTCCGCTTCGTCTCTCTGACGAGACTCACTAGCATTTTGACACTTTCTGCTAACAAGCAGCAAATACAAATGAATTTCCAAGGCACAGTTGTTGCCCCGGCAGACAATTAAAAACACTGCACTACACTTCTCAGCAGGAAGTCGGATTCCCAGACGCTGGATATGTTTGTTTATTGCACACATTTACTGTTAGGCTGAGACGAATCGGGTTTGAACTTTTCTAGAAATGGCAAGATAAGCTCCTTCCCAGGGATTTTCTAGCGCAGCAGTCGCCGACCCACGTGCACGCGGTTGTCAGGCAGAGTCATAACTACATGATGGCTGAAAATGTAGCTTTTTAGGCACGGGTTAGGATTGCATCATATTGTGAAGGCTTGGCAAATCTCACTGCATTTTGCATTTAAATAAATAAATAAAAATCAGTTTGGCTGTTTTAGTTTCCACGGCTTGTGTAATTAGATTTTACTCAGCAGCAATTATGAGTTTGTTTTGACAGTCCTTGTGACTGAAATCATTATCAGAGCGAGCGTGCAGAAGATGGCAGTTTCCCGCTGTGCTGATAAGATGTCCTGAGGTTGCAGAGATAGGAAAAGCAGGGCAACCAAATGGGCTTAGCATGCATGTTCCTGGAATGTCCCTTAAAAAAACGCACACTCTTGTTCCTGGAGTGCAAAATATAAGCTGCCTCGGGCTCCTTATCTAAACCTAGAAATCCCTAAAACGTCTAAATCTAGTTGGGAAAAGAGGACTTTGCTGCTCCAGCTGCCAACATCCTTATTGCTTTGCAGCTTTTACAGAAAAGCACATGAAGGCTCTCTTTATTTTCAAAGAAACCTGCTGTGTGGAGAATATATGCAAAGGACAAAGATCACATGCTTGTGTGCCTCTGAAAGAAAACGGAAAAATCTTTAACGTTCCTGAACTCCTGGAAGGAAGGCCTCTAAAGTATATGTGTAGGTTTTATTCAGCAGTGTGCAAGAGTAGTTTGAGGTCACAGGTCCAATGATGGTCCTGTGGTTCAGAAAATGCCCTGCCGTTCCTGCAGTGTTTGCAGCTGCAGGAACGGTTTGGAAATCGAGACCAAAGCAAAAAAAAAATAATAAAAATCATACATAAAGCATCTAGATGTTGAAACATGGTAGTTATTTCACTCACTTGTTTCTCATTTGGCAAATCTCTGGGTTGTTTGTGAATTTCCTTTCATGTGAGTCTGACATCTTTATTTAAAACTTTGGTGTTCTGTCTGGACAATAATCCCAAAAAGGCTTTAAGCTGGTTTTGAAAGGGATAAAGTGGCTCATCATTAGGCTTCACTGTCTTCAATTCATTTAAAAAGTAGCAGACTTCACTTAAAACAAAGTCCATGACATGAAACCGGCTCATTTAAATGAACTCTGTCAAGAAGAGTGGCCAAAAATTCAGCCAGAAATATTCCAGGACCTTCCAGGAATGTAGCTTTTAGAAGGTTTAACTCGCTGCTCTTAATGTATCCTTTGTCGCTTGTGCATCCATTATTGTTTGTCAGAACAATTCAAGTAGTTGGTAGGACAAATACCATTTTGACTGCATGCAAAGTTCATCACCAAGGGAGGAATTTAAAAAAAAAAAAATAATAACAGAAACCTCATTTTCTTCCTCTTTCCTGTCAGGAGTAATTTCAGCAACATCTTACCGCTGCTGTACATTCGCTCTGCCGCCTAATTGTTCTTGAGTTATGGAGGCACAATCCTGCCAGATGTACGTAACACAATTATCTCTGCGTGCTTTCAGGGCCGGATCCTGTCGACGAAAGAGGCCGGCTTCTTCCCCAGCGACGCCGTGCGGCCGTGTCCGTGTGTAAGCAGCTTTTACTTCCTGTCCTGCCAGCAGCGATTCACACAGCGGGCCGCAGTCTGGAGACACGAGGGATTGCTGGGAGGGACGGCCGTCGGGTTTTTCTGTTTCAAGGACGATTGGCATGTTTTACGTGCATGTGATGAAATACAGTTATGTGAAGCAGTTGGGAAACCCTACAAGTGTCGACAAGTCCTGTCACGATAAGTAATTATCGTAACAGGTAATTCATCATCTAATGATGAATTAAAAGGATAGTTTAAATTGCGGCGCTCCATTTCTTTGAAGGGAAACTTTGTTTAGAGAGACATCATAATCCATCTTATTTTTGGTTTTGTTTATTGTTTTATTTTGGATATTTAAAATGTCTTCTAGTTCCAGTGTGGAGTGTTTGGGACACATTTTAAGCTTATTGGCCTTTTGAGAGGGAAAACTTGCTTTATTGTGCCATTATCAATGTATTCCTTGGAAATAGTCTCATAACAACAATATTATCGTTTATTGCAATAATTTCTGGGACGATTTCTTGGCCAGCATAATTTCTTATTGTGACATGCTACTATGAAGCTTACAATAGGCTTTTGCTTCTGGAACCATGAAAGAGAGAGACTGCACAAGTTTAGCTTTTGTGCAATTTGTGCAGCTACAAAGTTCTTCTTTGTTTAATGAATTAAACAAAGTTGATTAAGTTCCAGAAGACAAAAAAAGAACATAAGAGTAGACATCAATTTGTGAATATTTCTTAATAAACAAACACGTGTGTGAGAAGTATCTTAATTTTTTCACATTGCTGTAAAAACCAAGGTTTCTGCAGAATATATATATTTTCCACCTTTTAGAAGCACAATTTTAGATTCGATTCAGCATGAACTCTCAGCAGAAAACACGCCGCTTCCTGTAAATATTCACTGATCTCAGATTTACATCTTTCTTTGCAGTTGCTTGTTTTGCGTATGCCACAGACGGACTGTTACTTTCCATTAGCTGAAGTTCAGGCTGCACCAGAAACATGAGGCCCGCTGCAGATAACAGGCTTATCGCCGTATCTCGTCGTCATAAAGATTAAGGAGCGCATTGGGCAGTTTTACTTGTGGAACAGCACCATGTCAACGTGAAAACAAAATTGACGTGAAGTTATGTTGTTTTATGGGACCAAAGGGGTGTGTGTGTAGGTGTGCGTGCGTGCGTGTGTGTGTGTGTTGACCTGCCACAGACTCACGTCTCTGCTTTTTCCCCTCTTGCTGCAGGTACCGAAGCCTGTCGATTACTCCTCACAGCTATGGTGAGTTCATAAACTTGTGCACATTTTAGGAAGGTTTTACATTATGGATTGTAATGAAGTAGAGCCTTTTTTTTTTCTTTCAAGTAAAAGTCTGAAAAGTGTAGCATTTGCATTGTGGGTGGGAGACTCTGTAGACAGGACAGCTATTTTTCATGGAAGAATTAGTTTACAACACAAAAACACAGTTAATGCCACAATTTAATGGTTTAGGTAAAAATCGGTTCATTTTTATTTATTTATGGCTTAAAGACTTGCAATGGGCTTCAACTTATAACTACGATTTTTCTTGTATTTATAACTTTAAATCTAATAATTCTGATGTTTATTCTCCTAATTATGACTTGAAAACTCATAGTGATGACCTACAAATATAAAATTATGACTCTTGTTCTTGTAATTATGACTTCAAAACACAGTTACAACTTCTAGTTGGACTTTTCCCCCCGACTTTCAGTCTGACTAAGCTTCAGCTATTTTGCCAATCACATATTGTGCAAAGCTGGTACGTAAATCCTGAATAACCAACACCAGCTTGCCGTTGCAACATGACAAAATATAAATACGTAAACCTGATAGGAATGCTTTTACGAGGCATTGAATGTTAGATAATGACTGGTGAAAGCCAAAGGTAAATGAGTAAAGTCTCTTTTTCTGTTTTACTGCTGCAGGTTTGCAGGTCCAATAGAGAGATTTCAGGCAGAAGCAGAACTCATCAACAGGGTCAACAGCACCTATCTGGTCCGCCATCGCAGCAAAGAGTTCACGGAGTACGCCATCAGCATCAAGTAAGAATCAATTCATACTTAAAACATTCCACATGAACTGGAGATTTGCTTGAGTTTGTTGCTGTTTAGTCTCTGTTGCGTTTCACTGAGTTAACCGGAACGCTGCTGATGTTCAGATTAGCCAACCTGTCTTTCCAAAGACCGAGACAATTATTGTCTTCTTTTTTTCTTTTACCCGCTGTTAGTTGACAGGTTTTCTGCATCCCCGTGGCTGCACTGTGATTTTTATTTAGCCAAACCACAGCATTGACCAGCTGCAGCTTTCATCCACGCCGCAGAACTTGACAGACTAATTTGCACCTTGTCCGAAGGACGATGTGGCGATCGCCGCTCTCGAGGCCGAGCCTGCGGTTAACCACAGAGCAGCATGTCGACACCTCGCTCGGCTCAAACGTAATCGTCATGGCTCGACGTAAGAGCCACAGAAACAGACTCTTTGGTTTTAAATTATGAGCGTACTGACGTTCTCGTCTCATTTTATCTTAAAACCTCAGTCTTTAGAGCTTCGTCGATCCACCTTCTGGTGCAGTTCCAGCTATGAATCTTGTTCAGTGTGCTGATCTGCACCACTTGTGCAAAATTAGTTCACATTTGATTTGTTGAACTAAAGCTTCTAGTCTTGTCACTTTATAATTGGATTTATTGCCATTGTAATATCAGCGTGTGCAATATCGCAAAGGGTCAGGTTTATTTGAAAAGCATATTTTAGCACCATAAAAGCATCATACAGGAACCTATTAACACCTCCACCAAAAACCGCTTGAAAGTGTCACACATGTTAAATGCCATTTGGTCAGATGAACAGACTTTAACTGCTATTATTGCCTGAATGTGGATGCGTGTTTTTTCATTGGCTTACAGGAAGCGGTGAAGAAACTGAAGTTTGAGGTTGTAGCCGGTTGTTTCTGGTAGAACTTTGGTTCTGTTTTCGCAGCTGCAATGCACAACGTCGTCGTCGAGGGTTATGGTTGCTGAGTATCCGATCTTGTTCCCTTTTGAGACCGCATGCGAGTCAATCTGAGTTTACAAGACGCTGGACGTCAGCCCAGTTCATTAGGCTGTTTATGAAAGAGAACAGAGTACAGTACGTGGTGGAACACCTCCAATACAGTCCACCGATATAATCACCTGGATTTTTCAACAAAATTGCGGGACAAAGTCAAACCGTCAACATTGCAGCTTACAGAGCAAAACAGTGGATGACCGATGTCCTTTATTTGCGCACAACGCTTTCTATTCCGCCAGACTGTTAATGCAAACAGAAACATGCGACTTGGGGAAGCATTTACCCAACACCCATCATTCTCACAGTGTCACAAACTTCTGGGACCCCGGCGCGTTAGAGGGATGGCCCGGCCTCTCCGCGAGGGGCCAGAGGCCGGCCGCCGATCGATGGCGGTGATCAGAGAGGGAAATTACACTCATAACTTATTCAATGGCCCACAGGTACAACAACGACGTGAAGCACATAAAGATCCTGACCAAGGAGGGCTGCTACTACATTGCAGAGAACAAGAAGTTCAGGAGCATATTAGTGAGTCTTTTCTTTCCGTTCACTTTCCTTTTTCTTTTCCTTATTAACGTTACCATGCTGTTCATGTAATGAAGTGTCAATGACTGGTTTTAGTCCAACAATCTGCACTAAGATGGCTCTAATTAGAGATGTGGAAAGTGACATTTTTTTTGTTTTCTATAAAAACAAAAAAAAAGGTAAATTACGTCTGTTTACATTGATGTAAACGCGACCGTGTGCTTCTTCTGCGTAAAGGAGCTGATCGAGTACTACAAACACCACTCTCTGAGAGAAGGCTTTAAGAGTCTGGACACCACCCTGCAGTTCCCCTACCGGGAACCGGAGAACGCGGCTGTGCACCGCTTCAACCGATCGGGCAGCAACAGTGAGTACAGCACACAAATGATCCAGTGTGATGCTCTCTACAGTATGCTAACCACCGTTTCACAGTATCATGACGTTAAAATGAAGGGTATGACAAGTTGCTACAAACTAGCATCACTGGTTTAAATGTAGCCAGTTGCTACACGGCTATGGCTGATGTAAATGCTAACATGAAAAGAGACCGATGACTGCTGCTTCGCTTGAATATAAACCACAACTCTAAGCGTTTTATGCTGCAAGAATAATATTTTCTTTAGTTTGTCGTTGGTATGATGCACAACTGAATGACGCCTGGCCCTGACATGCCTAAAAAATGTTGTTCATGTATAGGTTTGTCTTCTTAACTTATGATTAGAAAATTACAAATAAAAAAACCAAACAAACATTATTTCACTCATTATTGTGACATTTGATGCTTTATCTCATTGAAACTGTGACAGACCCTGTTATGTTTAGACCCATATATTTTCTTGTGAGAAAGAATAAACACCGATACCTTTAATCGCCTTGCACCGAAGCCAGGTGACGAAGGAGGAAAAAAAGAAAAAAAAGAAGTTAAAACACTTACCCACGCGATAGGTTGTCTCCGGATAGCACTGCCTTAATTCAGATGGGAACGCCTTGGCGGCTTCTTAAGAGCTGCGCGGCGATTCGCTGTTCCCGGCAGCTCAGCCTCCTGTGATGCTAATCGGTTTTGAATCGCTGTCAGACGGCGGCGGGAGAATTCCCTGAGCATGGTATTGGATTTGATAACGCTCCCTGGCTGATTACTGAAGATCAAATCAATTAGAGTTTCATGGGACCAGGATAATCTCAATAAATTAACATTCATAACCAGTCTTGAAGTGTAAATATCTAATCCAACGTTATGTCATTTGATACGTGCAAGTACTTAAATCTATCACATTGTTTAGTCTTTGGATTGGGAGAATGTCTTGATGGTGCTTTGTAGTGGAACTTTTTCACTTTTTGTCACATTACAGCCACAGATTTCATTGTATTTTATTAGTATTTGATGTGATACACCAACACAGTATAGAGTGCTGTATGTTTATATATCCCAGCTTTAGACAGCCATAAATTACAGATGTTTTCACATCTGAAAGTGCAGCAGTCCCTGTTCAATTGCAACAGTTTGCTACATTTTCAGCTGCTGCGGTTCGCTGTCACACCGTTTCAAGTGATCCAAACTAATTGAAACACCTGTTCACCCCAGTGCCTGTGGGGGCACTACAACCAGGAACCACTGAAGGAGACAAGAAAACCACAGAAGACACTGAGCATAACTTCTTCACAAAATGCAGTGGCATCAGACATTAGCAATTGTAAGATTTCTCTTTTGTCTTAAGCAAAAGACCAAACCATTTTCTCCACATCTATGTCTTGCACAAGGGGAATTATATTTACCCAGAATGCCCTGGGCTACAGTGACTTTTGGAGTTCCTCTGCATTCATATATGCATTCGAAGTGCACCAGAGTTCTCTTCAAGCAAACTGGACTTTCGAAACAAACGAACCAGAGTCCAATTAAACTGGACTAAACATGGCTGCTGGGAATGCACCGTAAAACTTTCACCCCTTAGTGGGCTCACTGGATTTTTAACGGCATCCAACTAAAGTGAGCTGAGCACCAGTGGACGCCACTGGTTCTTTCGAATATAATTTTAGTCCTAACGATCCACTACACCACTGGCATAGCTGAATCATTCACCGCTTTCTGCTGATCCCTGGCATAAAATCCCATTAAAGTACAGTGAACTGCTTGAATGTGGCAAAGTAACACAATGGGAATAAGCTCTGAGCTCCTGGATATTTTTTTGCATCACTCTGTGTAAAGCACTGACAGGGGCAGGGTGTAAAGTTCATGAACCATCAGATGTTTCCACAAACAGTTTTACTCCATCAAGCAGCCCAGAGACTGCCAGCATCACTGAAGGTTGTTGTGTTCCGTCTGTCAGCGGCTGAGCTGATGATTTAAGGAGGTGGATTTGCTTTTTTTCCCCTTTCCATCTTCACAAAGACAGAAACGCTTGTTCCTTCCGCGAACGAGCCCAGCATCACCTCGGAACAAAACGCGAGCACTTCACACGGTTCAAGCTGCGCCAACGCGCAACGTCAGTAATCAAACGCTGTTGATTATTTACGCATTCAGCCGCCGCCGCAACCCTGCGTCTGTGTCATTACTGCGGCTAACCCCGATTCTCTCCGAGCATCCAGCTTTTATTTATCCGAGCCGAATGAAAGGAGACACCGTCGCTGATGCGGAAGTTAACAGGTGTAGCTGGTGTTGTGTGTGTGTGAGCTTGAACGCAGCATTTTAATGAGATCATGTTTGGAGGCATTCTCAGACTTTCACGTCAGGAGTGATTATAGGTAATAAAAAGGAGGTTCTTGTGGCGACGTTTTCGGGAGGCTTCTATGTTTCAGTTGCTTTTCTTTTCCGTCTCATGAGCTTGGATGTTTGGATGGATGTTTCTGGGTTGGAGAAAGGGAGGAATTGCTCCCAGTTAACCGACGAACAGGAAGCGGCTTGCCTCACGGAAGCCCGCTGAGAAGCGCCATAAAACGCCTCGTGTGAGCTGCCCGTGAGTGGGTAATGACAAGTCTGACGTCACAACGAGCGGCAAATGAGAGTCCATCTGAAGCCCGCGCGCCGCCGGGCGCCTTCAGGGGCGCGTCGGAAACGCGAGCAGATTGCGCGCGGCTGCTGGGCTTCTCCGTTCCCGCGGTTCAGTCTCGGCTTTCGAGCTTTCAAGTCGAGGCCGCTCCGGTCCAAATTTGTTTTGTTTTGTTCCGCCGAAGTCTCCCCCCCGCTCGCCACCCCCTCTCCACTCCTGGAGCGCAGAATTCATTTCCTCTCTTTCACATTTAAATGACTCCTGCTTCTGATTGCCGTCGCTCCCAGAGCGCCGCTGGAGTACTTCCTAATTAACGCTCGCGCTTTCTCCGGCGCTCTTTGGACGGCTTTCGGCGAGTGACGGCTGATTGATAACGCGACACCGTCAGCGTTAACTCCGAACATAAACAAACAGGACGCCATGGAGCGGCTTCTGCTCGCAGTCTGTGTGGGCACTCTGCTCATGATTGGATTCTTCCACTCATCCTCACTTTCCCTCTGTCTTTCTGTCATGCTGTGTGTGTGTGTGTGTGTGTGTGTGTGTGTGTGTGTGTGTGTGTGTGTGTGTGTGTGTGTGTGTGTGTGCGTGCGTGCTGAATCTCAGCAGTCTCACAAATCAGATTGCTCAAAAATAAAGCATGTGAAATTCAGCTGGCGTCTCGGCGGCTGTGTGATCCCTCTTCATATCGCTCGCACCCTGAAACCATCAGCTCTTGCTAAGCTGTCTCTAAGCGCCTTGATTAGAATTCATTTTAAAAAGCCATGCTCTCCTCACAGCATATCAATAACTCCGGCCGGTTAACTCGCCTATTGCATTGTTCAGAGTGGAGCATTTTTCACTGAGTTGGGCCATTTATCCGCCGCAGTGGGAATTAAAGCTCACCACTTTGGCTGTACAGGCTTTCGCCAGGTACAGGGGCGGAGCTTCCAGGGGATTGTGGGGGGGCGGTGGACCTCATGGTTACTAAAAACTCTACAAGACCTACTGACCAGAAGTCTGATGTTTTTGTTTTGCTGCTAAAGCATCGAATCAATAGACAAATGATCTCAACAGCAAAGGCATTATCTGCTTTTAATTTACATTTTGAGGTCATAGAGCCATCGGATTAGGTCAAAGTTCTTTTATACCCATTTAGCCTTCAAGTGTTTGAACACCTGATGTTTTATGTAACCTCTGTGGACGCTGACATTAGCAGGGGAGATTTCTGTTCTGCTGCTACTTTTTTTGTTTTTTGTTTTGAGACTGTATTTTAGTCTTCAATAACTTCAGCAATTGGCCATCTAACTTTCTGAACAACTTTCAGACAACAATAGTCTTTTCCAGCATCTCATCGGTTCGTCTTTCGAAGGAAAAATCAACCCAGAGTGGGTCAAGAGAAGCAGATGTCGCTTGTGCGTCAGATTCACATATACAATACAGTCCCAGAAATACAATGCAAAAGTTCTGGCTCAGGACTTTTGTACGTAAAATAATAGTAATAATAATTTGTAATTATTATGTTGACATCCCAGCCTAATCCATGATGCAGAAAGGCAATAAAGTTGTTGAAGAAAGACACTACTCTCTGTCAATGGAAATCATATTTAATGAGTTTGTCTGTAACTGTCTTAAAGTTACTCTAAGTGAAAAAGCAAGTTGTGTAGTACTTTAATCACAAATCCGTTAAAATTATTTGCTTTAAATAAGAAATGCTGCTCCTGATGAAGATAGGAGCAGCTTATACAGGTGCTTCTATCTTCGGGTGCATATCTTTGACTCAAAATTGTTCCGATTGAACATTTTTAACAGTCTTCCAGGTCTAAGTCCGATATTTTGTAATCCTGTGGCATTTCAAAAAAGATTATAGTCTAACAGTGGTTCTCGTGACCTTTAAAAGAGAAGCGGGCCCACAGATTGCTGGGCATTGTACAATAAATCGGGTATAAAAGCAGGATGAACTGCAGCAACAAGAGCTCAGCGGGGATCAGCCTTTGAACTTCATTTTACCCCTTCAGCCCCCAATGTTCTGGATCCGTGTATTTGGGGACTAAACCTACCTCCATTATGTTTCCTTAAGGTTTTCAGTTATAACACCTTCTGGACATCTTCTGGTTCTGGACAGTCTGACTTCACTCCGCTTGTGGTCTTAAGGGCTGAAATCAGGCAAAATGATGAGAAATCACAAGCACACTTACAGAACAGCACAACATTAAGCATTCGGGTTCCCAATATTTGAGTTGAACAGTCGATGATTGGCTAAAGTCTGTGCATGGGGTAAAAAGAGAGTAAATACTGTGGAAGGACATGCACTAGTTTCTACCAAACATGCATTGAGCTAGAAAAATCCAGGTTTGGAGTGTTTTGAAAACATGTTTCATTTATCTCCTTTGCTTCTCTTTCTTTCTGCCACCCCTTCACTTCCCCCCGCCCCCCTGTCCCCTGCATCTCTGCGACCCCCGACCCCTCCCCACCTCCTGCCTGGCCCCGCCCCGCCATAGCTCCATTGCTCTGCGGCCTCTCTCTCGTAACTCCTGCCGGCTACAGCTTTGTGCCTCCTTCCTCTGCTCCCTTCTGGTCAGGTACAGGTACAGCTTCACTCCATTTCTCTCTCTCTCTCTCTCCTCTGCTCCTCTCAATGCCGCCAGAGGCTGCTTAGCATGCCGTCCCGCAGCCCGGCGCCTTCGCGCGAACCTCGGCTTTTGCACCCTTTCATGTGGGCTCCCCCGTTGCACCGCTTCGACTCTCTCATCGTCGTGCGCGCACGCCCGTCGTCCTACGTGTTCATTTGACTACTGCATGTACAGTATGTGAGGTTCATGTGTTTTGTTTTTGCACTTCATATTGCTTTTAGGGAAAAAAAGGAAAAAGACCTGGCATGTGAGACATTTTATTTATTTATTTGATTTTTTTTTTTAGGTTTTATGTAGCTGTGTGTGTGTGCATGAGTGTGTGTGTGTGTGTGTGTGTGCGCCTGTGGGTCCGTCCGTCAAAGAAAAGGTGGAAGTGTCCAAGTTCACAGAGCTTCACTATATTAGATATTCCATCCCTACGGCCAGGTTGTAGAAGTCTGACATTCCATTTCAACCTGTCAGCTTATCCCGGGCAGAGCGGCCGGGCGGTCTGGACCAGAGGAGAGGCGGCAGGGTGGGATGGAGCTTTGGTAACTAGCTCCACCTGCGCTGTTTTCTCCTCAACATTCATTCCCCTTCTCTCACACACACTGATACACGCGTACGTCAAAACACTGGAGCTGGTCTTCATCTGTGAAAACTAATTAGTGTTTTCTAAAGGAGGTTTTCAAGTGTGTATCTAGAAACAGATTATTGTAAAGAACTAAATACTGATCAAATGTGTTTATTTAGTCAGTCATATTTTCTGCACAACAGTAAGTACTGCAGCAAAGTGCTGTCCGTTGATTCAGAGATAAAAATGAAATATTAGTAGAAACGTAAAAATGGCAAAACGCAACATTGTGCTAAAAGTAATCCTAAATAAATGTGTCTGATCACCTAAAGCTTGTTCTGCCATTTGGCAGCTTTTGTTTTTTTTATTATAAATCATAGGAATGCTTCTGTTCATTAATTGTGTCAAAAGTTGTGGCATAATTCGATTAGCTCTTTTATTCACAAATGTACTTGGATTGTTCCATCTATGTTCTTGAGATGTTCTTCCGCCTTAAAGGGGAAAAAAGTTTTTCTTAAATCACTTTTGCGTCTCCATCAGTCAGCCTGTCTGTACGTGTTTGTTCATACCTATTGTGGAAAAGTTGGCACGTTTGTGCTGACGTGTGTTATTTATTTCTTTTCTTTTTCTTTTTTTTTTTTGCCCCTAGTGCTGACGCCCAAAGTGATCGGTGTGGCCATCGCGCGGTACGACTTCAGCTCCAGAGACACCCGGGAGCTGTCGTTGCAGGAGGGCGACGTGGTGAGGATCTACACCAAGTCCGGAGCCAACGGCTGGTGGCGGGGCGAGGTCAACGGCCGGGTGAGTGTCGCCCCGGCATCGCTGATTGACAAATCAGAGGAGAAAGTTGGATTGCGGGAGCAGCATCATTTTCTGGATCCAGCCCCAAATGCAAACACTGTGGCTTTAAATTGGATTCCTTAGTGAAGTTTAAATGTTTATAAAGTTCTCCGTAGAGCTCCCTGTTAATGAACTCTTTACTCTGGTATTGTTTTGAGAAAATATTTGGTGAATATTTTACTCTGCGAAGACCCGGAAAGCAATCCCGTCCACTTTCCACGGCTCATTCTTTAGTGTGTCGTTGTTTACGCGCAAATCCATAAGAGCCGATCCCGGCAGAGCTCCACACACACGTTACCGAGAGACGTCGGGGTCACAACGCAGAACGTGTGCCGACTCTCTCCCAGTATTTCAGCTCGGAGAGACTAGAAGTGTTGCTGTGTTTGCATTTCAATCCTCCGCTCAGCCAGATGTCGAGTGTTTACAGAGAAGGGAACCTAAAGAGAAACCAGCTGGTGTAACTCGCTGCGACAAACAGATGCATCTCTCTGTTTTAGAAGCTTTTCTGTAAATTAGAAGATAGATCAAAATGCGATAAAAACAACATGTTGATAATTAGCTGTTTTTACTCAATAATGTCAACCGTAGGCACAGATGGACACTAGGTGGTGCTAAAGCACCTGCCCTTTTTCTTCTGAACAAAAGAGTGCCCTTCTGAAATCTTCCTTTCTTTTATAGTGCCGAATATGACCTGTAATAATTTTCACACTACTAAGGCAGTAAATGCAATAGTTTATACTTGTGAAGCATCTGCTCATAGAATATAGATATATTGAGCTTTTAAACAAGAAGTCATAAATTGCTTTTTTTTTCTTTAAAGATCTTATAGTTGATCATATCAGACTTTTGAAGAGTTAACGCAATACGTAAGGTGCATTCTTCCAAAACTGAAGTATTTGAACTCATTGTTGATTTTCATGAATCGACGTGTCAAAGAACATTTCTGTAAAATGCATGTGAGTTTACAGTCGTGACATATAAAATGCGAGAAAGATGAATACTTTTGGAAGCAACTGCATGTACAGTATTTTCTGAGTCATTTTTAGAAAAAAGCAGTATTCATGAAATAACCATGTTGCCTATTTAGCTAATGCAGCCGCAAAGGAAGCAGGCCGCGAGTTTCACAGCGAGCAAAGAGAGAAGAAATGACAAGATCTCAGAATGAAATTGTAGCTTGTCATCTTGGTGCCGGCGCAGGAAAGCAATTTTCAGAATGATATTCCGTATCTTTGTCAGTGGCTGCATTGCTAATCTTGCTCCGCAAAATCGACTTTTGATCTTTGGATTTTTTTTGCGGTTCTGATTTATCTGCAGCTTAAGCAGCTTCACCTCTCCACTGCCGGGTTCGAGTTTTAATTCAAAACTTCCGGCGAGGAGGTGACGGTTATCAGCCTGTTGGCTCGTGTTAAAAGCTGAATGAAAGGACGAGGGCTCTCGATCCGTCATTTATTCTCCTCCCTTCCTCCCTCAGGTCGGTTGGTTTCCGTCTACGTACGTGGAGGAGGGCGAGGAGTGATCCGACCGACGAGCTGGATTGGGAAAAGAGAGAAAGAGAAGACTGAGCGGCGCGGCCGCTCGACTCTCCTACATGACTGCCTCAAACCGCCCCAGCGGCCTTCGGCTCAGAAAAGGCTACAGTGAGCTGCGGACGCAAACAAGCCCCATCATTTGTGCGCGGCGTGGCAGAACAGCCTGACCGTCGAGGGGAAACGAGCTCGGCTCATGTTCCCTCTCTCCAACTGTTCATCCGTCACTTGGTTTCTTCCCCACCAGCCTGCCGCCATCCGCCCGCCTCAGCTCCCTCCTCCCACAAGCAAAGACTCGGACGCCATCAACTACAGGCTCTCTAATGAGTCCCTCTATGTGAGGTTTTGCTTTTTTATTTTATTTTCTGGTTTGGCTTTTATTTCACTCTAGATGGATTCCAGCCAGTTATGACCTTGCTCATGTGTTCGCTCTACAAACGCGGGCCGTTATTGACGACTCGGATTCATTCGCGCACTCCTCCCTCCTTCAGACTGCGATCGCGGCGTCGTCGAGCAGAGAGCTGCAGGAACGGCGGGGCGCGAGCGGAGGTGGGCGGTGGCGGCCACGGTGTTGGATAGAGTCACCACACCGCTGCCGGCGATCGATCCCATTTTCTTCACGCTTTATCGGCGAGCCGGGCCTCTCGTGTTGTTCGGCGTCCCGGCCGTGAACGATCCACCTGCTCCTATCGAGGGCGGCTTCTGTCAACAGGACATTAGCGGCCCGTCCGCAGGAGGCAGCCGAGCCGCCTGGTAGGGCCGCGCCTACGAATGGTTTCTTCAACTTCGACCTCGCCAGGGGCGACGGCTGACTCGCTGTCCGCTGGCTGCCAAAGGTGTTCACACCTCTTGAACTTCTCCACATTTTTGAGACGTCGCAAACAAAGTTATAAACTTTTTTTTCCCCATTTACTCTGAAATCCCTCAATAAAATTGCAGGTCCTTATCTTGAGTTGGTTCCACTAACTCACATGAAAGACTTTTGAAGACCAAGTTTTAAATTTAAGTCCTTTATCTTGACAAAAATGTAAAAAAAAATAACATATTTCTACATTATATATTAGTGGTATATTCTATTATTCATATTTTATATAGTGATAATATCTAACTTTTTTTTTTTGCACAGAATGAATGTAGCATTGTGTCAGAAGTGAGCTGGTGGCAAAGATGGATGTTGGCAACAAATTTACTCTCCAACCCAATAGACACAAAAGAAAGCTAGCTGGCTAGCTGAGGCAAATTAGCAGCTAGTTAGCGGTAGCCTCAACCGCCTGGACTCAGAACCCAATGAAGACGTCTCAGGGCGACTCAAACTGAAAAGTCAGACAAAAAAATCAACTGCATACAATACACCTTTTTAAAAAATAGTTTTATTTTATTGCCAACTTACATTTTTTTCCAAAAAGTTTAAAACATTTTAAGGCCTTAATTTCAAAAAGTCTTACCAGCAAGACTTTTTAAGGATGCGTGGAAATCCTGCTTTAGAGTTTTATGTTGAACTTTACATGTGGAGTAGTTCAATGGGTGTGGATGTTTTTCCACGAATGACCAATCACGAGCCGGTCAAACTTATTGATTTTTAAAAATTTTATTGGTATTGTTTTTAGTGCATCTTTCCCTGACATATTTGGATCTTTGCGCTCTGCCTCTGTAACGGCCCACCACACCAGAGGCTGAACGTGTAGACGTAGGAAAGTACGTTTGAAGATGAAGTTTTGGAGCTCAGATTGAAATTTAACCGAGATCAAGGCAGCTGTCACATTTGAAAATCAGCCCCGAGGCGGTTCCTTCACTCCTCGCCTCCCGCCCAACCCCCCTCCCTCCACCCCACTGTCACATCTTCATTGTGTCGACGTCAACCCGCATTGTGCCGTGGTGTCGGTTAATGGTTTCCATTGTGACTGTCTTGTGGACGTAATGGGTCCATTACGTGTGTAAGTCATGAGTTACACCCTGCCAAGTCTGACACTCGCCGCTTTTATCATGTTTTCTTTTCTTTTCTTTTTTTTTTTCTCTCTGTCAAGAACGAGTCGCATTAATGAGTCCTTCTTTTTTTAATGGGTTTCAAATCAACAATTTCAACAAGTGACCACCAGATGGAAGCATACTAAACACAACTCTGGAGATGACATCATTTGATTAGGAGGAGGAGGAAACTGTAGAGGCAAAAAATAAATAAAAGATAGAAGGTTTCTCAGTAAATCATAGTTCTGTTTTGGCTTAAAATTTAATTTATGAATTTCTGCTATGTTGATTATTAAACCTGGAAATCTTCCTCTAGTAATATCGCCAGGAAAACTACTGGAGACCTTCCTCATGTACATAGATCACACCTTCCTTTTAAAAAAGTCAAAATAAAAAACGGAGCCGGTTCTCTGATCACAGACTCCAGTAATCCACTCCAGCTCTTCCTCCTCCTCTTCCTCGGCCTAGTTGACCTCTGACAGCAGGGCAATTTAAAGCTGCAGGCAATTTAAAGCTGCAGGCCTTCCTCTTCCTCTTCTCTTTTTTTTTCTTTTCTTTTTGGCATGCAGGAGGGATTGGTAGGAGGCTCAAGGGTATCTGTGATCTAATCATTACACCATCTCCTCACCTCGGCGGCCCCGCCGCATTCATCTCTCCGTCGGCTCCCGCCTCCGTCTCTCCGTGTCACCTCTCTGTCTCCGTTTCCCCCTCCCGTCTCTCGTCCAGTCTCTCGTCCAGTCTCTCGCGGAGATATTTCTCCGCGCAAAGCGTTGACCGGTTTTAATTTGACCTCATATGAACTTTATGCCAATTGTCGGGAGATGATCTCTGCATGTGCAGAAGGGACTTCAGAGCGACCGTGTGGACTCCTGTGATTTCTTTCACCTGCAGGTCCGTCGGGATGGACGTTGCCATTCAGATGTGTCGTGTGTGTGCGTGTGTGTGTGCGTGTGTGTGTTTTGTTATGCCAGTAAAGCCAAAGATGTATGCTGTATCTGCTGTCTCTCATAACCACGGTACCCAACCACTGAGGCCTGACTCTAAAACGGTGCAATCCTGACTGTGTAGCAGAACCCTGTATTAATGCTGTATCATACTGTAAATGATGTACATAGAGCGGAATAAAGATATACACTGCTTCTTCTAACGTCTTGATGCATCGGTTTTCTTCTTTGCTGTGGATTCTATGAAACGGTGTGTATAAATTAGTTGTGGTATGTTGAAAATGTACAGACGGCTCACGGGGGAAAAACGTAGTTTTTAATTGCGTTCAACAAAATATAGTAAGAACATACAAAAATATTCTCTGTACTTAGACTTCAGCTTCAACAGGTGTGAACTAGACATTTCATTCTTAATCTATAGTTTAATGTGATGCTGATGCTCCACGTTCAGCCGCAGCCAACTTGGGAAACGTTCCAACGGGTTTAGTGGTCGGCACGTAAAGCGCACATCCAAGATGCTGGGCGAGAAGGCCTTGCTTGTAGACGCCGCTGCAAGTCATCCCAATGTTTTTCTGTCACGATGAGGTCATTAAAAGTGTTTCATTTTCTTGAAAACTGTGAAGGGAGCCTGGAAATCACCATAGGAGTTTTAGAAAAGTTACTCTTTTAAGCTATTTATAGAAGAGCAGGCACGCAAGTCTTTTGTTTTCCAAATAGACAATTGCTTCCAGAAATACTAATGCATGCTTTTATTTTGTAATGATTTGCCTCTTTAGAAAATGGGAGTCAATTTTAAACACGTTGACGACATTTACTGAACAGAATCTTCCTTTAGAGGACCAGCAAATGCAGTCAATAGAAAATTCCCTCTCTATTTTAAATAAATAAAAATCCTCTAAGAAACATCTGTCATAAAGAAGGGTGCTGTTCCCAAAGCCCACCAGGTGAGCCTCAACTCGCCTCGCCTCGGTTGCAGCAACGTGCAACATACTGTTGCAGGTTCTTAATGGTCACAGACCAACTGTCTTACAGCTGATGTATTTCGTACTGCAGACGTCAGACTTGCCCTCAAAGCAAGCAAGGACCTTAATCTTTTTAACAAGACAACTGGACTATGACCGTACCAGCAACCTCTCGGCCTGCGACCCTACAGGGATGGATGGGCAGATTAAGGATCGTCCTGTGTCTGTTCTGGCGGATGAAGGCCCGAAATGGCAAGAAAACAGGAACTCAGATCACCACGCTGAAAACGGATGTCTCCCAAACAGCAACTAAAGAGCAGTGTGTGTGCAGTTCACCTGTCTTTGTAGCAGTTATCATTGAGTTTTATGCAAGGCGGCCATATTGGATTTTCTGGAGGTCAGTGAGAAACCTGGGACTTCCTAAACCTTTCAGCAAAATGCAGTTCATAGGCCTTGAAAACAAGTATAAAATAAATGAACAAAATTGATTTTAAAAAATCAGTCAGTAAGGCGGTATTGAGGTCATATATAGCTCTCTTGACACTTTCTTTTTTTTCCTGAATCCGCTGTAAAACCGGTCAGGTTTCGGCTCCTTTCGGCTCGGCGCTCCATCCGTCATCACCTCTGCCGGTTTGTGTTTTCGCCGGCCGGGTTTATTCCTGTCCGTTTCCTGCTGGCCACCCGGGAGACGGAGCAGCCGCTGTGCGTGAACATCAAGCGGCGCTTTTTTTCTCCCTGTTTTTCCGGAGACAGCGGGGTTGTGCCTGCGGAGCCCGCTCGCGATTTTCATCGTAAAGGAGAAAAAAAACTAAAGAATAGATGAGCTAGCGCTCAGTGCCGCACGCTGGCCTCTCCGCAGACTCCCTCTCACTCTGCTGCAAATCAAGAAAAATGGGTGCCTATCGACTTGACTCAGTTTCTGCGGCAAAAATTTCCGTTTGCGTTGCTTTGGCTTTGAAGATGTTAATGAAATGTTCAAAGGTCAAAAGGTCAACCAGCCCACTTTACTGAAATCAAAGATTTTAAGCAGAAAAAGCAGCAAAACTTTTCTAAAACCTTTGCTGCACAAACGTTTGGCAGAGACGCGCCGCATTAATTCAAGCGAACGTGTGTCTGTTAATTCACGCCGTCCGTTCAGGCGAAACAAAAGTCGACGGATTCACACCGTCTGGCAAGGAGGAGGCAAAAAGTCAGCTTTTGCTTCCGCATTTATATGTTTATTTTTCTTCAAATGAGCTTTTTCTGCCAAAGCCTTCCTTTTCATTCACACACACAGGCAATAAAATAGAGGCTGCAGCGCGAAGCCTCCGTCGACACACACAGCCAGCAGATGGACAGAGAGCAGTTAAGAGACGCTCTATTTAAACTGGCTCGCTCTGGCGTTCGCGTCCCACAGCACATTTGCGGTGCTTAACACGTGGGGTTGGACAGAAAAAGCACTTTGAGGTGTTTGTTGCGAGAAGTCCTGGAGCCGCGCGAGTCCAGACGCACTGACGCTCGCGGCGCTGAACACGAGCCTCTTTGTGCCTCGCGCAGCGCTAACGCTGGCAGGACTTACATTCAGTTTCTGCTGCACATAAATCCCGAGGTGTGAGCTCACCTTGGATAACGCGGTGCAAGAGTAGAGATAATGGAAAAGCAGGAGTTTGTACATGTATTACACCTGTGACCTAATCTTGTGTTGTTGTTTTTTTTAACAAGCTCCCTCAATGAAGTCAACTAAAAATAATGAGCTGTTGACATCAGATGCATGCATGTGCCAGAAATTCAGAAACTATGTTAATATTTGTGACCAATAGACAGAAGCATATTGTATCTAACACAACTGACCCTCCTGAATGGACAAACGAATAAGCAGAACTGAATTTGGGATCCATCCTGTTCAGAATGGCGAGTTAGATTAGTTGCCATCTAACTAATGATGATGTACAACTCTACCACGCAGCTCCAAACCCAGACAAGCCTTGAAAAGATGCTTGGAGCACGTCAGTGCGGGACAGAGCTTTGCTTATGTTTTCGCCACAAAGCTTTTTAGTACCAAGTTACTTTATGTTTTTGCCTCCAGTCTTAATTCTGCAGTTTGGTTGAAAACACTAGAATGTCATTTGCAGAAGGATGGCCTGACTCTGCTGCTGCTTCAGCTCATCCTCCCGATCTTGAAGAGACGAAGAGACTTAAAGACAGAATGAGGATATTATCTCCTTTAAAATGTAACAGTTGGCGTTTTCACACGTTTCCTCCACAAGAGGCTGTTCGTTCACACATAAAAACACAAGAGTGGAAGCTACAGACAGAAGCAATCGAATGCAGCACAGCACTGAATGAAAACGCAGGAATGGCAGAAAATCACAATGATGAGGATCGACGAGAAACAGATCTGGATCTGACGCCTATATGTGAGTCATAAATCTAATTATTGTTTAGATTTTCCCTTTGAACCGTAACAAATGAAACGCTGACCGACATATTTGCTGCGTAATGATTATTTTGATGATGCTTGTCGACAAAATGTTATGTTTGTTAATTAATAATTTGTTGTTCTGATGTTTTTATGATGTAAAACACTTTGAAGTGCCTCGTTGCTGAAACATAGAACTTGATTAGAACTTGAATTCATTCAGTAGATATTTTCCATTTTTGCGTCTGTTAAATATCTGTGTTAACAAAATACTTTTTTTTTTTAAATCAATGATTCTTTGACAGATGTGCATTATTTAAAGTTTATGTCTTAACTTGTCGAGTATTTCAGGAAACAGAAGCCAGTCCGCTATTAAGCCAACCTTCAGGTCCAGGCTGCTCTGAAACTCTGGAACTTTTTATATTTGTTTGCGTTCTAAAGTTTCCAAACGTCTCCCTGCACTTCCGTTGCAGAGGCAGCAAAGACACATAAAACAGAGAGCGAGAAAACATGATTTCTCTCACTGTAAATCTGATCTGGCCCCAAGGAGCCCCGAGGACGCAAACTATAGTGGCACTCTCTAACACTGACTCGACCTGGGCACAATTTTTAAACAGAGAAAGAAAGAAATTTAGAGATAAAGCCTTTTTACCCTCTGCAGATGTGCACGTCAAAGGTGTTTCAGTCATATTTCAGCACAGCAGAAGTGATTCTAAATTTCCTCTTTGCCTTTCGTGAGTGTAAAAACTCACTGATTCAATGAAGCGAAGCTAAACAGAGCTGAGCTGAACAACTGTTACATTTCACTTCTTCTTCTGCTTCTTCTTGATGTTGGAAACTCTGAACACTGGTCGGGTTTCGCAGTCACAAGAAATGTGTCCTGATTACAGCAGACTGGCATTATAACACCAGCAAAGGTGATTTGAAAGGTTAAAATCCTTGTGATGTATTTATTTTTTATTTTTTTATTTTTTTGTGAGTCTGAAAAGAAGTATAACGAACAAAAAACAACAATAATAATAACTATAATATCACCCAATATATATATATATATATATATATATATATATATATATATATATATATATATATATATATATATATATATATATATATATATATATATATGCTTGTGTGTAAAGTTAGAAACAAACTAACCACTGGGTGCAGAACTGTGTATGTGTGTGTAAATATG